GAATCAACTTAACGGCCTGCTCCCAGTTGGCTTGTTAGCTCAATTGTTAGAGCGCTGCACTAGTATCGCAGAGGTCAGTGGTTCGAATCCCGTACAGGTCTGATTTTTTTCAGGTCTGATTTTCGCTATTGCATAAATGGCGCTCTCTACTGCGAGGATCGTGCATCATACGTATCTATAACCGCAGTTCAAAATATATGAACTTCATATATTCATCGTAACCAAAGGAAGTAAAGTTGATGGTTTTTGATGCCAAGATCAAGATGCATCATGAAGCATGCATCACCGTACGGTATGCCGGGACTCGAACCCAGTCTTATCGGTAGTCTTAAAAACGGCGGTCGCGTTCGCGCTCTTTGAAACTGAAGAGTGAACAAGCTAAGCTAATGTTTTTTTTTAGTTACTCACTTGATAACCAGACTGGAAAACGAGTCAGTTAAGAGCTGAATGTCTTTTCTTGCTCATCAAAAATGAATTATTACAAAGGATCGCGACGAAGGAGCAGAAAGAGAAGGAACCACAGTAGCGAGACACTTGGTGATGGTAACCCTAACACTTCGGAAACTTCTTTTGTGAGTCTCAAGATCCATAACAGTACAGCTCCAGGAAAGATTTCTATATAACCCCATACATTAGTTGTGCATTCCATTTCATAAAGACTAAATATAAAGGTTTCTTTGCAACATTCTATGTATGGGGTTATATAAAATCTTGCCCAGCTCCCTGAAGTCAGCACACAATGCCACAGTAACTATAGAAAAAAATAAACGCTAAAATGTCTTCACGTAGGTCGCCAGTCCTGCTGGTGAAAGTATCAAAAGGATGAATCCAGAGATCGGGGATTCAATTGCTCAGGAAGACTCAGAAATATCATTATCCTATGCTCCTGACAAGACGAGTAATTTTTATTTTATCCTCCAGGATCCAAGATCTAGGAGGCAGGTAGTAAACTTAAGATCCCTTTGGGTGGCCGGTATACCTAGGGTTAATGCTCAGGGTAGAAAGAATGTCCATAAAGATTAGCTTTGTTGGCTAGAAATGATTAGATGAAGTTGATATTACACAATTTGTAACAACCTTTTTGCCTTTAAAAGTGCAGCAAATGAAAACCACCCCCACCCCTATAATAACCATCCTCGCCCCCTCCCCACTGTAAGGCAGTGGCATTATCCTTAACTACATGTGGATCAGGGGCCCGTTTCTTGAAAGTGTTTGTAACCTAGTGCACCCGAAGCTGTATTTAAAAATCAAAATTTAAAGAATAGAGGAGCAGGTTCTGGCATCCTAACCAGTTCTTTTTGTTTTAATAGCTGCTATCTTGTTTATTGTATAATTTTAAAAACTTTTGAAACTCCTATCTTGAATGAATCCTGAGGAGCTTTACAGGCCCATTAAATCACTGAGACCTTTGAGAAACAGCCCCCCCTGGAATGGGTTGATTTGTTTAAGTATAACCTCCTATTGTTTCTTCAACGCAGATCCTCTTCACAACTTTGCAATCTTATTACTCTATGCAGGGAAATGCTGTTCTAGAGGCAACTGAATCATCCAGAGATGGACAAATGCAGGAGAAAAGGCAGAAAAGCAGTGACAATTCTGAGATGAAACAAGCCATAAAAACAAAAAGAAACAAAGCGCCAAGTCCTGGTAGGAAAGCACAAGAAGCTTCCAAAGTTCCTGGCCAAAGGGGGCAAAGTCAGGTCAACAATAAAGCTAATGACTTGAAAGATCCTTTTCCACAAACTACCACAAGTGTAAAGAGGAAGAAACAAGTAACAAAAGCCCATTCTGCACCTATTTTCGAATCTGAGGGTAGTTTGGCTGATGCAGAAGATTCAGAAACTATGTATTGTACTGAGAAACTCTCTGAGCTAACTGATCGTGAATTCTTACAACAGCAAATCAGAATACTGAAGATGCCATTCGAGTTGGAGAAGGACTGCCCCTCTTTATCAAAGATTAAAGGTAATGGCTTCTGTGCACACCCTACACCTAAACATCAGTAGACATATTCTTCATAGTGTGCTCTATACATTTCCTATGAAGGAGAATTTGTTTAATAATCAAGAGCTTTTATAGTTGGCAATCATGTCAGTTTTTTTCTCATGGCCTTAATTTTTGATCCTGCAGTGATACTGATTAAAGAAATTAGATACTGGTCTCTCTTACAGTGCAGCTTAGAGATCCATGGCCAATGCACGTGTAAAAAATTTGCATGTTTTTGGTGCTATGCCCAAAAAAAAAGCATGCATCAATGCAGGTGTCTTAACCCTTTTTGCACCCAAGATCTCATTAGTAATTCTCTATAATGTCATTCTGCAACTCCCATGATGTCAGTATGGAGAATTTGGTGTTGGATCAACTATTAATCGCATAATCCAAAAACTTTTCTTTATTCTCATCACTCTTCTGCTTGACACTGTATTGACATTTTAAGGAGAAATTCTGTCTTGGTCACTCATGACTAATAATAATAATAATAATAATAATAATATAGTATTTCTGACCGCTTGCAGCCTAAGGCTGAATTATGGGTGCAGTTTAAGGTTGAGAACAGACCTCAGCATATCAGGCACCTCTGGTAGCCGCTTCAGTCCATCGATCTCACCTTCCCACCCATCCCACCTAGGGGAGGACATCCATCACACAGTAATCTCGTGTGTGGGAAATTAAACACATAGGTAAAGGTAAAGAATCTGATCCTACTGACGCATTGGCCAACACTTTGGCTGACACACTAAGGACACACCACCAACACTAACCAACGCGTCAGCCAACACACTACCAACATGTTGGTAAGAATGACTGACATGTTGGCCAACCCAGTACTGACGTATTGGTAAGTGTATATTCTTTACCTTTACCAGCACATAGCGGTTAAGGGTCTAATGCTTGAACTTGTCTTTCAAACTTACTACAACTTAACCAGAAGTTGTTGATCTTTTTTTCATGTAATGATTGTAATGGCAAAGTTTTTGGTCTACTTCTTTTTCGCCTTGAAATTTTCTACTAATATGAGTTTAGAGATTTACTTGCTTTTTTTCTTCAAGAAAAAGATGCAAAGCATGTTCCTTTACAAGTTATCAACAATGCACTGAGAAAAGGTACTGATAATAATAATAATAATGATAATAATAATAATAACATAGTTATTTTTGTTATGGTTTCAACTTTATTGGTTGCAGAAGTGGTAATGACTCTGATTAAAGACAGTTACAAATTCTCAAAATTCCAAATGTTATAAAAATAGAATTAAGAACCTCTCTGTCAGAGGCAAATTTACAGTGCATTAGCTTGAGGATGTGAAAAACATGCCAATTCCAGGCATCCAGTGTGATGGTAAACAGTGCAATAGTTGTGGAGTGAAAAAGCCAAATTTTCTTATCTGTGTTAGTATGGTTTGCAAACAGTGGAAGTACTCTCCATTTCACTTTATTCAAGGGAAATTCAATGAAGAAACCAGTATAAAAAAAACTTTCTAATATCAAGACTCCACCTCTGATTTCCTTTGATTTCTTTACAAAAACTTTTTGAAAATTGAGTGGTTAAAGTCGGGGTATGTGTTTATCTGTTAGTGCAGCTTATATGCTGGTGTTCATGGTAGTCAATGAAAGTTGCCTCCTCTCCCTTTACATTAATTTTTTCCTTTTTTTTTTTTAGTCAATCATAAAACAGAGGATGTCATCATGCAAAATCTAAACAGACTTGCACAGAGAAAACTACTTGAAAATTTATCTGCTGTAAGACAAGATTCAAGGAGTAGTTCTATATCAGACAAAGGGCTGAAAAGGTGATTATTTCTAACTTATGTTCAGGGTCTAAATTTTTGTTGATTTGCATCTTAATGTTTTGTTCATATCTTATTGTTAAAGGGCCCATGATGTCAAAAAATGTTTTTTGCTCATCTAATTCTGCATTTCACCAAATGAACTTCTCCGAAAAAATTTTCGATTTGGATAAAACGCAATTTTTTTATAATTTTTTAAGGACATTCAAATTTGCTGCCATTTTGGTCCACCATTCACACCAGTCTTCCTCGGTTTAAAGTGAGTCGTGACATAGGTTCAGGAACACGTGATTTTGGGTTATGACTTATCTGACTTGAAAACAAGTGGGAATTTGCTTCAGAGTGGTCACAATATCGTAAGCTCGCAATATCGTAAACGACCCGCACTCGACCAGTGTATTTATGTGCACTTTAAGGTCAAGTGAGGTTCCTGAACCTACGTCACAGACATCAGTCATGTGGTCATTTTGAGCATGTTATTCTTGGAATCAGCGGCAGGGGTCGACCGCAAGAAAATAGAATTTTGAACTTTGTAAAAATTTGTTAAAAAAATTGCATTTTATCCAAATCGAAAAAATTTTTCACCGAAGTTCATTTGGTGAAATGTAGAATTAGATGAGCGAAAAACGTTTTTTGACATTATAGGCACTTTCAGTGTCAAATGAAACTGATTTCAGAAAAAGTCAAAACTATTAGTGCTGCTGTCTCTTTACCAGCGGAAAAGTTTGTGGCCTTGAGCAAAGTAAGCTTGCAGGAGGGGCACGAGGGGTCTGGTACTAGCTACGAAGGGGTCTGTCACTAGTTTTGAGGGGTTTGGTACTAGCTATGAAGGGGTCTGTCACTAGTTTTGAGGGGTTTGGTACTAGTTATGGCAGGCCCTCATAACTAATTCAAGACTGCCAGTGCCACAATACAAATAATGAATAAATTGATTTTTTCTTCTTTGTAGATATAAAGAAGTACAGGAAAGAGTGACCAACCTTGAAAAAGTTCACCAGGAAATCCCAAACCAACATGCTCAACACAAGGTAACATGCATCTACACCCCAACATCCGCATGCATATTCTCAATACTGTTCTCTATACATTTCCTGAGGTGCTGACAGGGAGAATTTGTTCAAAAGGGCTTCTTGGTGATCATTTTCTTTATTTTCGTGACCTTAATGTGTGATTCAGGGGTGATATTGTTAGGAGAAATTAGATGCCAATCATTGTTGTGGGTCAAAGGGTTAAGGATCACTAGTAAGTACTGCCACATTAAATAATTGGCATTAACCAGATGCCTCAAAAATTTTTTGTAAGTGGCTTCTGTGAGTATTTTTGTTGTTCCTTTTTAAAAAATCTTACAACTTAACTCAAAGCCAAAAGTAGTAGGAGGCATACACTAGTTACTTCCAAGATCTGATTGTTAATTCTCTCCTCTTGCTGCTACACATTTCCTTGTAAATTAGTTATGAGAATTTAGTGTTAGATCAAGATAACAACTTTTACCCGATAAGTTTGAGTATTCTCATTACCTGTTTGCTGGGTAATGTATGTATATTATAATTAACAATTATTCACCGAACCTGAAGTGAATAATTGTTTTAGTATAATTTCGGAGCTGAACAACAGAGAAATTTCTAAAATCATAACATTTTAGTAACATTTATTAACATTTTATTTTAACATTTTATATAAACCACGTGGAGCGGTTTATATAGTGTCATATAAGGAACCATTCGACCAATCAGATTGCTGGAAACTCTTTGCTCAGCTCTGAAATTATACTAAAACAATCATTCGCCTCAGGTTCGGTGAATATTGTCAAATAATCCCGAGACGAAGTCAAGGGCATAATTCGACAATATTCACCAAACCTGAGGCGAATAACTGTTTTAGTATAATTTCAGAGCTGAACAGCAGAGAAATTTCTAAAATCATAACACTTAAGTAACATTTATTAACATTTTATTTTAACATTTTATATAAACCACGTGGAGCGGTTTATATAGTGTCATATAAGGGACCACTCGACCAATCAGATTGCTGGAAACTCTTTGCTCAGCTCTGAAATTATACTAAGGAGAAGTTACTTGTTGATCACTTCTGGGAGTTCTGGTTAAAAGCAAAGTAGATTCTCACAGGCTTAATTAAATTTATAAAAACAAATAAAAGTAAAAAAGTTATTTTATTTAGTTTATTTGGATGAATTGACTTTTCCAAAGCTGTCAACTTGTGTATCTTTCCATGGCTAGGATATAGGTAATTTTGTGTCACAGCTGGAATCAGACATTGAGAAATTTGACAACAAAGAATTGGTGGCAGAGATAAGAAGAACTAATAACTTACTAGGTATGTTCAGTGCAAGTTTGGAAGACACAGTATTCCAACAGTCAGGATGCCAGTCTCTCAAGGCCTGGCCAATCATTCTTTATGTTCTTGAGAAAGACACTTCATCCTCACAGTCCCTCGCCCCACCCAGGGTGCCAGGGTGTACAAAAGGGGAATAGTGATAAGCCTAGTCGTGAATGAAGGGGGCCAGAATTATAAATGCGAACCAGCGCTGAGATCTTTGATGAAAGACTGGGAGGTAACACTACGATGGACCAGTATCGCATTCAAGGGGTAAAATTTAATGCTGCTAGTCACTTCATACTATGATAACAAATCTTGCTTCTACTTATGGTGCACAATCCTCGCAGTAGAGAGCACTATTTATGCAATAGTGAAAATCAGACCTGAAAAAAAAAAAAAAAAATATTGCTTCTGTTCCCTTTTCTATTTTTCTGGTAACCAGGAAGTGCCAACTTGAAAAATACAAGCAAGGACAGAGGGATCAAAGAAAACGCAGGTGTGGGGGGCAGATTTTTATCCTTGTTTTGTTTAAGTTACCTTTACTAGTGCTGTGGCACCATTTGCTGAAAGATAGAAAATGCCTGGTCTTTAAGGTTGGCCAGTTGTGTTGTTATGGAGCATTATCATTTGTCTCAATGAGGATTGTTACATTTTGATTTCATACCATGAGCTGTCTTCAAGTGATGTCCACTGGATATGCGTCACGTTATGGACCATTATGCTCCACTGGCTGGTGTTTGACAGCTGCGTTTAGGGACATTTCAAAGATGTGTTCCTGTTGTTGGTTGTCAAGCTGTTTCAACCAAACTTCTAATCAAATTGTTTAAAATATTTGAATTTTTTTTTTTAAAAGGATGATTTCTGTACTGTTTTCTTTGTAGATTCTGGGCCTGACGTGAGTTTGACAGATAAAGATGATCCCTGTAGTCAGGAGCAACTGGTTCAGATACTTTTCAAAGATTGATGATATATTTGTAAATAAAAAATATTTCATATAATGAGCTGTATTGTTTGTTTTTAGTTTTTACCTATGATCTATTGGAGAATAGATGCATAATTTCAAAAGAGAAGTATAATCCTTTGTCTCATGACGTGGTCACTGCGGATGTGGATCGCATTATTATAAGACATCCTTTTTAAACACCAGAGCCTAAATAAACCAAGAAATATTTCCAGATTATCGAATTTTGAATACTTCAAGTTGAAAAGTAATAGGCCTGTCAATGAATGAATTTTAGTCCTAGAAACCCAAAGGTTTGATGGCAAGTTTTCCCCATGTATCTGCCACTGCTTCATTCATATTTTTTCCTCATTACCTTTCTGTTTGCAAAAGTATTGGTATTGGAGAGAGAAATTTTTTGGTAACTCTAAGAGGAAAAGGTTGATGCTGACTTTTACTTTGACTCAAGTGTTGGTGCAAGTCAACGTAAGGACTGAGATGTGTAGATTCACCAAAGTTTGGAAATTGCTTAGAAAAAATGTATTACAAGTCACCTCCATGAATTGTCTCAAAGTACAGCTCAAGCCAGAGTTTATTTTAATTGGCCAGTAATTTTGCTGACATTAAAGCCAAAGCTCACAATGGAAGCAACTTTTAGCATCTCAGTTGACTTCATATTTGTGTGCACGTGTTGCGTACCTACTTCTTACTAAAGTACTCTATAGGCATTGTGGGTACATACATCCAAACATCCAAAATGGCGGACGAAAAGTTTGAGCCTGGTGAGGATAATGCAAAGTGTATTCAAAAGATATTCGTAATTCATTTGAAAATGTACCAGGAAATTTTATTTTATCGTTAATGTGTTAATGAGAGAACCCTTTTGTATTTTCAGTGATGAAAGTGACTGCTAAAGAGATGGCGGATGCGAAGCTTCCTTTGGCCGCGAGAGATTACTGCGCCCACTTACTCATTCCTCTTCTAAAGTGCAGAAAAGATACTTATTATGTACCATGGAAGTGTCATCATGAGAAGCATGCCTGGGATAGGTGCCAGTACGATGAGTAAGTATATAAGACAAGGATAAATGGGCATAACTAACGTTCCACTGACTAGCTACCTACCACTCGAGCACAATTATCTTATGATTGGCAGGGAAGCTTTTGTTTTGTAGGTCCTCTTATAAGTCAATGATTATCTTGTTAATAAATTTCTTTTGATGGCAAGAATTTCATGGCTAGATTGAGCGATAATATACTTAGAAACAGAGTTATTAGAAGGGAAAAATAAAATTTGTAAGTATAGAATTATGAGGACAATCTTACTTGAATTCGTAGTAATTGAAACAAGAGAATATAATTATTGTCCGATATGTGTTCAGCAGTGATCATATATATTTCAATTGTTCTGGATACAACAGATATTCCACATTCCCTCACTGTTTGCTAAGTCTCCCGCATAAAAAGTAAGTTAGGATATTTAAAGAATATTGAAGTAATTTACTCTCTGTTTTAAAAAGATTGGGTAATTTAAGTGAATTTCAATAGAGTTGGGTAAACTTATTTCAGGAACTTTCAGTTTTTTTGCGAGAGACTGGGCCATTGCGGTAAATCGGTAAATTAAAAAATTTGGGAAGAGGTGAAGGATACGATCTAAAGTTAAGCTTCTCTATTTGCCCAATCATTAGATGCTAGATTCTCTGTTATTAGCATCTCCCCGCCCCACTCTTTGATCCATCTAATTCACCCCTTGTTACTATAACACTTCCCTTCTCATCATATCAAGTCCTCTGCAGAAATGGTCACCCAATGGCCTGTAAGTTATCAGTGTTAAATGAAAAGTATTATCTCCAAGTAATACCTAGTGGATATCATCTAACAGAAACATTTAAAATAAATATTTCAGTTTGGAATTAATGTCGTGCTTGGTTGGAACATTTAAACATTAAAAATCTCTGTCATGAAACAAACTACTGGAAGCCCAAGAGCCACTGTTTCCTAACATTTGTGAAACTTAGCAACACCACAAGCCACCAGTCAATGAGATGTGAATAATCAAAGTATCCTTGCATTTTGCATATTTACCTAAGCTGAGCTCTTTCTTTTGAAACAGCTATATGTACAGAGTGAGAGAAAAGGAACGCAGAAAGCTTCAGCAGCCGGCAGAGTGAATCTTTACCCACTCTCTGTTACCAGTCTGTGTAACCTCCTGAGCCTTCTTGTGATGACTAATAGAACTTTTGTATCATAACAATGCTTGAATTTTCAGAACCTCTGGTGTAAATTGTTATAAGGGAATTAAAAGTAACCATGTTTTCCAAACAAGATGTACTTTTATTCATTGGAAGCTATGAGATTGTAAGGGTCACTCATCACTTGGAGTCGTGAGCTCATTCAACAACACTTCCATGCAGAACTTAACCTAAGGGAAAGACTCACTTTAAGTTGGTAAAATAATGTATGTTTGGGAGGATTCATTAATTGACAGAGTAAGTGAGTCTGTGCAAGTTATATATGATCTCTGTTAATTGTTTGACCCTCAAGAGTGACTCAGGGGTTGACACTAACTTTTCAACTTACTAGCCAAGAGGCTAGTGACATCTTAGATGTTACGACAAATTCAGTCTGTTTACTAGCCAAACTGGCTAGTGGAAATTGAAAACCACAAGCCAAAACTGAATTTCTACTAGTCTGTGGCTACTGGGCTACCGTTGGTGTCGAGCCCAGTGACTAGCATCTAATTTCTCCTTACGATACCACCCCTGAATCACACATTTAAGGTCTGGAGAGTAGAGGAAATAATCACCAACTAGACAAGCTTGATTGTTAATCAAATTCTCCTCGTCCACATTCAAAGAAATGCATAGAGATCAGTATGGAGAATATAAATGTGGATGTTAGGGTGTAAAGGGTTGATCTTTTCACTCTCAAGATTTCATTTGTAATTCTCCACACAGTCTGCTGCACAATTCCTATGAAGTTGGTTCAGAGAATTTGGTATTGCATCAGCTAATAATCCCCTAATTGATTATTTCCTCTATCCTCATCACTTGTCTGCTTGACATTGTATCCATATTGTAAGGGGAAATTCTGTCTTAGTCACCAAGGGGAGCTCGTGTGAAGTCTGGCTCCTGATTCTGTGACTAAATGGAAGGCAATCTCACCAGTGTGGAGATGGGTTGTGAACAGTTCCTCTTAAGTTTGCTAAACAGAATTGCACTGGCCATTGCAGTCAGGATTACCTTTCAGACTTTTTGTGTCATACAATGAACAAGGACACCCCCACTTCCTCTTTGGAATTTCCACAAAGTGGCTTACAATAGATGATTCCCAGAACTGCGCAAGAAACCATGATGACAGAAGAGATACCCACATCTTAAAACAACCTCGATGGTAATTACTATCAAAGAAATTTGGTAATACCAACTAAGTTGAAATTGTAAATTGGCCACCGAAAAGAGTTAAAAACCTGACGTTTTGAGCATTAGCCCTTCGTCAGAGCAAAAGAACCCTTCTAACCCTAAACAATGACTGGCACCTAATTTCTTCTTACGTTTTGACCTGCAATGTTCACAGGAATAAAGGAAATGAAATTTGAAAGCAAAATTTTGACATCACTATTTGTAATTTACACTTGCATTCATTTTCAACCAATCAGGTGTATTTTTTTACCTTTCACTCTTACAATCTCAGTGGTAACTCTCCTTACTGTCTGTCATTATTCAGTTCTTATGATGTAAGTTTGGAGAATTTGGCATTTGATTGACTAATCATCCCCTAATTGACATTTTTCTTTATTCTCGTCACGACTGCTTGATATTATATTAATAATGTAAGGAGAAATTCTGCATTGGTCACTCACAGCAGTTAAAAGGTTCATCTTTAATCTCCAACTTAGAAAAGTTAAATATATTTTGTTAATATGGATAAGGGTTTTTGCAAGTTCCATATTGGAATGTCTAACAGGTTTCTAAATCAAGAATCACTGCATGTTATCATCTAGCATGTAGGTGAGATGGTGGAACTGATACCATAAATAATACAAGTCTTACAGCTCACCTTACGCCAGACAATATTTTTCCTCAACACCATAATTTTACATAACTGTACCCAGCCAGACAAAAGTGTTCCTCGATACTCATTCAAAACATTGAAAAAGTAATCTATGCAATACATAAATAAATGGGGTAAGTTTCTAGTCAGAGAAACTGTGGTACTGCACTCATGGGAGAATATAACAAGATAACTTGGTTTTATCAACTGAGTTGATTAAGTAAATTGGCCACTGTATTTAGTTTCTAAAGCTGATGTCTTTAGTGTTACCCCTTCCTCATTCCCCGTGACGAAAGGCTAGTGATTGAAACATCAGCTTTGAAACTCTTTATGGTGGCCAATTTACTACTTCATCAACTCAGTTAAGAAAACCAAAATTACCTTGTTACATCACTTATTGGTTGTCTATGCAAGTTTTAAAAAGATGTGTGTCACTTAATATGAAAATTCTCCTGGACAACCTAAGAATAGTAGTAACAGACACAATGTGTTGGTTAATCTTGGTAGTTACCATGCTTCAACATAAATAAAACTCTTGACAAAAATGCCTCACAAAGTTCAGTTTCCATACCTTACAATTTTCATTAGAACCCTAGGATAATATAACCCTATGTGATGAAATCCCAAATAGATGTTAAACATTCTACAGCCCCAGAGTACCAAAATGAATGGAAAATGACCTAGATGTAATGGACATTTTTGTAATGACAAAGTTGTAACAAATAACATTTTTTATCTACTGGTAATACTGCAAAACAAAGAGTAGGGAAAAAACCCGTTTCCCTGGCCTTTCCTAATAAAAGGAAACACCCTTCTAAAGAATTACATCTCAAGTCTTTGAATTATGAAAACTAGATCCTTGATGAAAATGTAAATATTGTAATTTAGAAAAAAAAAATTCTGTGAACCTGTACCATAGCTGGACATGTTCCATATTACAAAATACAACAAGTTTATAATTCAAGAAATTCTGCATGTTATCACCCGGCATATAGGTGAGATGGTGGAACTGATACCATAAATAATACAAGTCATACCACTCACCTTATGCCAGACAATATTTTTCCTCAATACCATGATTTAAAATTAATTTACCCAGTGCCAGGTGTTACATCAATCTTGCAATAAATGAATGACTCCACACATAGAATCAAACACAAACAGGTGAAGTCTCTAAGAACCATATATTATACACTGTACACAAGAATATCATGTTTCTTCAGATTCATGCTTGAACAAACTTAACAATTTCACTTGAAGTTAGAGTCCTTAAAGCTATTTGAATTAGCAGTATCTCTAGCTGTGTCTCTAAAAAATTAATCCACAGCCTGAGAAAATTCAATTTTACATTTGAAAAGAACATTATTACAGATATCACATTTATTCTCTCCTTTTTTTGCCCAATCTTTTCATGTATTCTGAAAAGGTCCTTTGACCCCTTCCTGTCTTTGGGTCGCTTCTTGTTCATGAGGTAACCAACATGGCTATACAGATATTGTTGCCAATGTCTGTCAGAGCAGCCTCAAAACTTTAAACAACAACTCTACACTTAATGAATGCCTTCTTTGTTGATTTACAGCAGCATGTATCACAGGAACTAATACATTGTCAAGATCTACCATAATATTAGCTGGGAGGAATTGCTGATTGCTTCCTGAAAGATAACCAACCTTTGAGAGAGAAAAAAAGGGACACAAAAATGTATTAATTTCACACAGCCTAGCATGGCTTGCTACTGGTTTCCTTGTAAATTTACTAGGAGGATTTGGTGTAAGATCAAGATAACTACCTGATAAATTTGAGTATTCTCATTACCTGTTTGCTGGATAATGTATGGATATTATAGGGAGAAGTTACATGTTAATCACTTCCAGGAGTTAAAGGGTTACCATGAATTTGTAGTATGCAAAAGTACTCAAACTTCATCCATGATGAAAATGGATACAATACAACTTAGTAAAAATACATTAATAATATTGATCAAGGTTATGCAAGTTCTAAGATTACGAGGTAAACCAAATTTATAACTCAATAATTATTGCACATTATCATCTGGCATATAGTTGAGCTGGTGGCACTGATACCATAACAAATAAAAGCTCATACAGCTCACCTTGTGCCACATGATATTTTTCCTTGAAAACCACAATTTAAAATAACACGACTAGTGCCAAGTGTATCATATCAATCTTGCCAGATATTAATAAGTAACACAGTTCATTGATAAGTCTTCAAGGTATCATAATGTCTTATGGGTTTATTGATTCAAAGAATTGCTGTATGTTATCATCTGGCATATAGGTGAGATGGTGGAACTGATACTACAAATAATAAAAGTTCATACAGCTCACCTTATGCCAGACAATATTTTCCTCAAAACCACAATTTAAAATAACTGCAAGTTTCAGATTAACGGGTAAAACATAATTATAATTCACTAATTATTGCATGTTTTCATCTGGCATAAAGGTACGTTAGTGGCACTGATACCACAAATAATAAACGTTCATACAGCTCACCTTATACCAGTCAATATTTTTCCTCAAAACCACAATTTAAAATAATTGTAACTAGTGCCAGGTGTACCACATTAATCTTGTCCTGGATTAATGAATCCAAAGTCCACTAATAAGTCTTCAAGGCATTATAATATTTTACAGGTTCATAATTCAAGAATTGCTGCATGTTATGATCTAGCATATAGGTGAGATGGTGGGACTGATACCATAAATAATACAAGTCATAAAGCTTGCCTTATGCCAGACAATACTTTTCCTCAACAACTTGAATTAAAGTGACTACAAGCAGTGTTTAAGATGAAGAGCTTTATACTCTCAACCTTTCATGCAGGAAGCCACAATGAGAACAACTGACTGACTGATTAATAGATTGATTAACCGATTGACTGACTGACTGACTGACTGACTGACTGATTGACTGATTGACTGATTGACTGATTGACTGATTGACTGAATGACTGACCTACAAAAAAAGCAATATGACTGCACAGAAAAAGATACCTTAATCTAAAAACATGTCTCAACTACTAAAGCTTAATACATCTCATGGCAACTACTCCAATAGTAGTATAAGTTATAAATGCCTTACATTATCAGGATCCAAATTTACTCTCAATCCAACAGATGTACACCCATCTGAGCTCATTTTGGACAAGTGAGGCATGAGTGTCTGGCAAAAAGCCTTTGCCAGCTCTCCAGTGAGTTTATTAAGGTCCCTCGATGCACTCTGTTGTCCTTCGACCAAAAAGAACACCTCTGTCCATTGTATTCTAAATACATTCTTGCGTGTGAAGTTACATCCACTGTGGACCTTGACACTTGGAAAAGAATCTAGCTTTAAACCGTCTATTGGGCTGTGCAAACTGTGGAAATTTGAAAGAATTATTGATCAAGAAAAGTCAATCAGTTGTGGCATCAACATTTTATTGAAGATTAAGCATAATCCTCTTTAAAAGTTATGCCAGCACCTTTGTCAGTACATGAACTATTAAGCTATTAAGTAAATTGAATGAATCCTTATTAAGATAATATTTTTTTTTAACAGCAAAAAAAGCCAAACACAAAGATGTGATTACAAGTCTACCATGTAAGTTTGAGTCAAGAACTCTGAGTGCAAGTTTCTGTACCAAGAAAGAAGTCTTTAAAACAGAATTAAAGCTTCCAAAGGAAAATAAAGCAAACCTGAAAGTAAAGTAGGCAAGCAGAAAAAAAAAAAGAGAGAAAGTAAAGAAAAAATTTTTAGGCATTCAGTTGATTGAAAATCAAACTTACACATCTCAACCATGATTACTGGTACTTATTCATAATTATCTCCATAACATTCATTATTTTATAGCCATCATCATCATTATTCTCATTTTCAAGATGTCAAATTTTCTCTTCCACAATGAGAGTAAGCAAGGACAGAGGGACAATTATTTGTCTAAGACAAGTTAAACAGCACCTTGCTTGCTCTGAAGTATTTTGACGACTGACCCACTCCACAATGACTTGTTCTTCACCTGCCCCACCTGGAACCCCTGTAGTAATTGCATAGTCCTGCATTTCTTTCAAAGAATTTCTTAACTTTCCAATCACTTCTGGCATCAATTGGACCATAATGCCATCTATACAAAGACAAAAACAAAAAATAAACTCACCAAATACCAGTATTTATGCCAGAGGAAACTGGGCATGAACTCTCTCTAATTTAACCCTTGTTCTCCAAGACTATCTAGCATCTAGTTTCTTCCCACAATATCACCCCTGAACAGGGTTCGACATCTCCACTAGCGCGGTAGCCCGAGGCTAGTAAAAATTTGGTCAGGCTAATAAAAAAAAAACACGTTTAATAGCCCGCTGGCTAGTAGAAAAATTGAAAGAAATAATAATTAGTTTACTTGAAGTTCACAGTTAATTAAAAAAACAAAGTTCAAATTTGAATGATGATACCAATAAAGAAGGCATCAGCCTTTCATCTACTGGCGTCTTTTTTGTCTTGCGTGTCGATCATAAATCGCTAGATCCCAGGCTCCGCACTTACCAATGTTGCGATGCCTTGCAGATTGCCTTGCACTTGAAGCGTTTGTACTATTCTTTATTATTTTAAAAGACATTCCCAATAAGTTTAGAGGAAGGTTTGCATGTTTGGAGTTGAAGCAGACCTCGAGGGAAATTGATCCGGGCTACCAAGTTGTGTTTCGCGCGAGTAAATTTTAGAAATCACTAGCGCGGTGGCTAGTAATGCAGGTAGCCAGGTGTCGAACCCTGCCTGAATTACACTTAAAAGTCAATGCAGTAAAGTAAATGTGCACCAACTAAAGAACCTGTTGATCATTAAATAAATTCTCCTTGACAGCACCTCAGAAAATGTATAGAGAACAGTATGGAGAATATGCATACTGATGTTAGGGTGTAAAGGGTTAAATGTAGATGACAAACAAACCTTCTACAATGTTGACTTTTGCCATAAATGGACTGCTAGGCTTAAGTGCCCCACTAAATACAATAAAGCTTGCTCCAGTTACTAAAAGAAGAACAAAATGATAAGAGTTTGAGCCAGTTAAACAATATACAAATACTCAAACCAACTACCCTGAGTGCTTTCTTCAACATGTTTCAGTAGGTACCTTTCCTAGCTTGATTTTGTATGTTGATTGCTTGAGTTTTGTAGCCTTGTTCATTCTGCATGCACACCAGATGTGAGTCTGCTTCTAAGCTGAAGTTGGCTCCAAGGGCCATGACATGCTCATCAGTGGCATTGAGAATCTTTACTACCTAATGAGAGAATCAAAAAACATTTATTTCAAAAAAAAAAAAAAACAAGGTATTGTCTGTTCATGATTTTGATCATTGCTCATACCAAAAAGGTAAAAACCTTTGTAATTGTCCTTGCTGCCTTAACTCTTCAACTCCCAAGAGTGCACAAGACAGAATTTCTCCTCACAACATCAAAACAATATCAGGCAAACAAGTGACGAGAAAGAAATGTCAATTAGGGGATTGTCGGTTTCTGACTGTTCAAGTTCTTCTGAGGAATATTGCAAGATGTTCAGATTTCCTCCTCCTGAATTACAAAGCATTAATAGCACAAACAAACAGCTGGAATGATATCTTCTGTTGAGAACTAAAAATCCCTAATAACACTTGAGTGGTAAACTAAACTTAACTTCACAATTTTGATAAAGATTTTATAATCTTGATCCCAGAAGTGATTAAGATGTAATTTCTCCTTCTGATACCCTACACTATCCAGCATACAGGACATGAGAATACTCAAACTTATCAGGTAGAAGTTATCATCTTGATCTAAAACCAAATTCTTGCAACTAATTTACAAGAAAATGTGCAACAGCTAGAGAGGACAGTTAACAATCAAATCTTGGGAGTTTAAGGCTTAATCAATCAGCCCCTTACAGGGCTATGGTCTAGCAGCATCAAGTGGCCCCTGGCGCCTTATTTTTGTTCTTGGGTGACCCAGGAATCTTAGTTTTTTCATAAAAAACATATGCTGGGCACCCTGGATTTCACAGTTTCTGAGCACTGGGCTCCCTTCCATTTTTCTTAGAGCACAGCCTTGCCCTTATCATAAGAATTGAAGACTTCAATTGTTCACCAACCCTTTCACTCCAAAGAGTGACCAGCATCTAATTTCTCATTACATTATCCCCCCTGAATCACACATTAAGGTCACGAGAATAAAGGAATTGATCACTGACTAAAACAGCTCTTGATTGCTTGACAAATTCTCCTTATCGGCTCCTTGGGAAGTGTATAGAGAACAGTATGGAGAATATGCATACCGTCTGATGTTAGGGTATAGAGGGATAAAATTGAAAATTGTTACCTCATCATATCTGTCTTGAGGCAATCTAACTAAGGTCTTTTTTTCTTCCATGTGTATGAGAAGCCCTGTAACTCTTGGTAATGTATACTGGAAATTCTTGAAGTCCTAAGAAAATTAATCAGGTAATGTCATACTCAGTAACAAGGCTATAATTATTCAGTATAAAAAAAAGTCCACAATCAAGTAGTGGATAAAATTAATTGTGGTTTCGAGTTTCTGAAAGAGACATTTAGCATTATTCACAGTGCCTTTCTCTGCCCAGGATTATAATAGTTACATGTAAACTGTCTAAGAGATCTAACAAAATGCAATCCTGCCTTGGTTGCACATTATTATGCTGGATAGTTCTATCCAGCCAATAACTGTTTACTAAGCATGCTACACTATCGCCTGGATAGCAACTAACTGATTACTTGGCAACACTCCTTGTCACTTCAAGCAACTGAAATTTAAGATGAGCTCAAGAAGTGTCAGTAAGGTAACACTAAGTCTTGTGCAAGAATACTTACTGCCTAAGCGCCAATCCAAAATTACAATCTAGCTGATCTATGTAAATGATTTTGAGCAACCACTGTACAATAAAAAGAATAATGAGCACATACTGCTAACAGATTCATGATTGTGTGGCCAACTTCACCATATACTGTCGATCTGCTTCTTGAACTGAATAATGGACAGGGATAATCTAGAATCAACCAAAACATATCTAACTCAGAGTGATGACTCTTTGTTGAAAGTGAGGTAGAGAAGAAAATTACAAAATTAATTGGTGGACAAAAATAATTGGAGCATCAAATAAAAGTAAAACAAATGAAACAAGCAATGCATTTTCTGAAATTATATGTGTAGGTGTTGTCTCTCATTTACTGCTCAAGTGATTCAGTGCATGCTGCAAAATCAAACCTAATAATAAAAACAATAACACTAATAATAACAATAATAATGACAATAATAATAATAATAATAATAATAATAACAATAATAAAAATAATAATAATATAAAAATACAACACTAATCTAATAAAGTTGCACTCAAAAATACACAATAACCCTGGAGTAGGTTTGATTTGATGCTCATTTTGTGTGTTTTTGTTTTTCCACAGGACTCAGTTTATCTAGCTGATCTAGATACTGATTCCATTTAATTTGTAACATAATTTCATTACGGTTCAATAGAGGACTTACTCACATCTGAACTCTGCTCCAAGTCTTAGTTGCAGCCTTAAAGGAAACAACTGGGCCCATGGCGCTTCCAGACGTTTTATCAACACTCCTATGACATAAGGAGTGGACGGAACAGGGATGTTCTTCAAACACTGAAAAGATTTGATTGCATTAAAAAATGTCAAACATCAATCACATAATTATAGAATTATTGTTGATTAACCTTTCCTCTCCCAAGATCTCATCAGAAATTCTCCTTACTGTCTGCCATACAATTCATACAATATGAGTTGGGAGAATTTGGTATTGGATCTGGAAAGCACTTAATAGAAAAAAGGTTTTAAAAAAATGAGGCTTTCAATAGCCCTTATCACATTTGTGTCTGCAATGCAAAGGGTCCGTGGAGTTACAGTTTCAGGATGAGGCTATCTGGTCAACGTTTCTCGAGAAACACCAGAAACACTCCATGTCTGACCATATAACTCTGGAATCTGCGTTTTTTTTCTGCCGAGGAAAAGGTTAAAATTCTTACTGGTAATTCTCCTGGCATCACGAAAGGAAGATTGAAAGAATGGCTGTCATTTTGGAAAGGAACGGCAAAATTTTGTCGCATTTGTTCATGACTACGGTTGTTGTTCCTTTGTCAGCCGTTTTGAGGTTTAACTCAGAGTCACGTTTCAAGGCCCTCAGCGCCTTGCATTCGGCCGGAAGCAAATTATCTTTTGGCTTTGTAATTTCTATTTCTGAAAGGTCACTTTTAACCTCTTCTAAATAGTTTTCAAGGGCTACTGATTTTGGTATTGGTGGTATCCATGTAGATTTGACATGGCAGGGATGGGTTTTTTTGTCCTCCCCTTCGGATATGTAAATCAGACGCATTCTCCTTACGAACTGATCAAAGTCACACAATAGTTGTTGTCTGATCTGAATTTAAGCCCTTTTGCCAGTAAATTAATCTGGTCGTTTGTAAGTTCTTTATTTGAGAGGTTTTTATGTGCGTTTTGTTCGCCTCTAGTTTGATAGTTGAACGTGTTTGGCAAGACTGTGGTTTCGATCCTAATCTTGTGGATCTCATCAGTTGCTGATTCACTGAATAGACTGTTGCACCCGTACGCAAAACAATGTCTAACCATGACGAGAACATGCTGTATCCTCAAGAAAATGAATAAAAATACCTCGAAATGTAGCCATTTGCTTCAACTTTACTTGAAAGTTTTACCTGTGTGACCGGATAGCCTCGTTTCGAAACTTCAAAGTCCGCTGAGCTCTCGTACAGTGGGCGTAAATGCGATAAGGGCTATTTCAAGGCATACCTGAAATGATGGTTTTACATACAGGAAGCCTGCATTGTCATCACTGCCAAGAAATGGTTGACCAAAAATTGTGTAGCCAAGTTCAGACACAGTGTGACCTAACAGTAATTGAAAAAAATCTTAGTTCCAAGAAATGCTGCAAACAATTCTTGTTGTTTTCATTAATGAACAGGAGTCAGGATTCTACCTTGTTTTGCATATGCAAAGGCTGTATTGAAGTGTGAAAGGACATCCTTTGGAAGCATTGTCTCTTTGCGATGACACTCCAACAGGACCACCTGAAAACATTGGACACAATTAAATCACTAATAACCAAAATAATTTTTTAATTAATGTTAATTTTAGATCTCTATTCCACCTGTGACCAAACTCAAAATTTATCACCTCTCTTCAACAATTTAAAGAAAAGATATTTCAACACTTTTGACACAATTATAACTAACCCAGATGTCTTACCATCTCTTCTTGGTTAGCTGCCCCCATCCCTTCTGTAACAAAACACCAGCATTTGCGCTTCACACAACAGCTCACTAGAGAGAATGAAGAAAAGGGAACACGAATCCTAAGTCCTTTTTCCCCTCTCAATTCAGGGCCCTTTGCTACAGCTATCCCAAAGATTAATCTTAACCACAAGGGGAAGAGCATAGTTTGCTTTGTTATAACAAATCCTTTATTTCAAATGAGTAAGCTCCCACAGTGTTACCAACAAGTGGTTAATTCAATAAAATAATTATTCCATTTGTACTTGTTGGAAACAAAAATGGTAACAAAAACTTGACACTATACCACTTGTTTGCTATTATTATCTCATATCAAATGCACTCTCCTGGATAAATTTTTAAGAATCTTCCAACACTTTATCCAGTTTATTTAACCCTTTGGCCCCTAAAAGTGACTAGCATCAAATTTCTCCTTACAATATCACCCGAGTCACACACTAAGGGAATGAGAATAAACTAAATGATCACCAACTAAAGAGGCTCCTGATTGATTAACTAATTCTCTTTGTCCACATCTTAGAAAATGCATAGAGAACAGTATGGAGAACATGCATAACAATGTTAAAATGTAAAGGGTTGACGTGAGAATTCACACTTACATTTCACTAAACTGACTTTAACAACTAGGTTCTTATTCAGCAGAAATACAACAGTTTCATGAAGACCTGTTTACAAAGAGAATTATCAGCATTAGAGGAAATATGAGGACTTTCCCTAAAAGAAAAGATAAACATAATATCTGAACAAAATTTTTTTTTATAATTTATTGACCTTCTTGAGACTATTTCTAATCTACTTGTCCTGACAACTAATTCAAGGCTGATCTAGTGACTTTACTACAACAAAACTGCCAACATAACAACAATAGTGGTAAAACTATTAGCTAGTGGCTAAAACAAGGAAACAAGTTTCCAGGGAGGATATTACAGGAGGCATGCTTTCTCAACCTTTTTCTCCACAACCAGTTAGTGTTCCATCTAAGTTTCATAATCATATTGTTCTCCCAAAAGCTTTAGAGGCAGCTAAAACAAGGTAACAATTTTCCAAGAAGAATATTGGGGAGGTATGCTTTCTTATCCATTATTTTTTTTTCGAACTGGTATATATGTTCCATCTATAGTGTATGTTAAAAACATATTGTTCTCTCAAAAGCTTGAATCCTTGAGCTGATCAATTTTCTTCGAGATATCACTGATCTTAAATTAATTCCAAATAAATTACTTGGCTAGTTGTGACATTTAGTAATTTATTTGATGTAACATCAACTACAAAAGTTTGCACCTTTCAGCTGATGCATGATTTCTGCAGGATCAGGCCTCTCTTGAATTGATATCTCTGAAACATACGAGAAATACAATTACATATAATTATTATTAGAATCGCATCATTGAATAAAATCTCGCATTCCGATTGGTTATCAAAGTGAGGTACTAAGCATGGAATTGCAAGCTGAAAACGAGGCTAAGTGATATTGTTTCGCATCTACAAAAACATAACAATTTTTAGTAATGCTGTTTCCTTTTTTTCTCATTTTTATTCAGTTATGCGATTCAAGGAAAATCCATTACTTCACTTGTGAATTCTGCATTAAATTGCACTTGAAAACCAATATCTTTTAGCATGCAATTCAATGCAAAATTCCCTCGTCAAGTAATGAATTTTCCTATAGCATTTATCATCTATCTCAAAAGACAGAGAGTTTCTGAGTGACTCGTCATGTCTTAACTACATACTGTGAGTCTTCTTTGGGAAATAAGGTTGAGTAGTCATGCATCAAGACATTTATCAATCTTTGAATGTTGTCCTTCAGTAACATTCCAGCAGCAAAAGCTCCGACTTCTACAATATTTTACAGTTATTTTACAGTAATTCAAGGCCACATTAGTGTTTTTATTGTTTGACCAACATTTAATTTCTTCCTTACAGTATCACAATTGAATATGACACTTTGGTCTTAAGAATGAAGGAAATGATCAACAAGTAAAAAAGCTCTTGATTGTCAAACAGATACTCTTAATCACTACTAACTTTAGAAGATGTATAGAGAACAGTATAGAGAATATGCATACTGATGTTACGCAGTGAAGAGCTAAGGACCAACCTTCCCAAACAATTGAATTGAACAAGGAAGAATTACTCATTGCTGTTACATACCTTCATTTGTAACTCTTAAAACTGGTGGCAGTGCAGTTATATCTTGTGGCAACAATGACCGCACATTGTCAACATCCAATCGAAACAGGCAATCACTGTCATCAGACAAAGCAGGGGATGTTGGTGTGGATAATGGAGTGCTAGGTGCATCTGTGGGTGGCAGCTCTGGAATTTGTAGTGGAGGAAGAACTGGGGGAGAGGAGGATGGTGCTGTGGCAGCATCCACTCCTAAAGAATGAGTTCCAGTCATTAGACAACAGAAACAATGGAATTACATTCCAATGTTGAACAATTACAGAGTCACTTAGGAAAAGTTTGTGATCATGTTTACAGACTGAAGTAATTTAAGATCAATTCTTCACCTGGGTCAGGTAACTCTGTGGAATCAAATTCATCTCCTAAGGCCTCTGCACATTCTGCAATCTCTTGTTGGTCAGCTGGCAAGTCTTCATGTTCTTCTAAAACATCTTCTGTCAGCAAATCAACTGGCACACTGTCAAAATGATTTCTGAGATTGTCATCCTCTTGGCTCTCCATCACCTCTGATAATGCCTGAGCTGAAATTACAGTGATTATCAATATCATGCCTTGAAAAATGACACTTTGACCAGAAGAATTTTGAATAACATCTGATTGATGCCCCAAAAAAGATTATTCTCAAGGTATGCACTCCTTAACTCTTTAATGGGCCTTTTGCAGCTAGAGATCATGTGCTTAGATACCGCATAGCAACCCCATACTGGAAAGCAAGCACTCCAGTGATCTCAGACAGTATAGAGGTCACAGAGGTCTGCATTCAAACAAAGAATACAGCAGATAACAGGTCAAAAGGTAATTGTTAATTAAGATCTAATTGTTAATTCTCCTATCTAGATGCCACACATTTCCTTTTGAATTAGTCACAAGAATTTGGTGTTGGATCAAGATAACAACTTATACCTGACAAGTTTGAGTATAATTCTCATTACCCAGGGGTTTCATTAAGGGCCACGCTCCAAGCGAATTGACCAGGTTGTGTAGACGGCTTTGCTCACCTGGTTTGACCATCTGGAGGAAAGTTTTTCTTACTAATAGAGAGTTATAGTTCAAAGAGTTTTGCCCACCCTGTAAAAACCAGTAGCCCTCCTGATGAAAACGTTAATGAAACCTCTGATTACCTGTTTGCCCGATAACATATGGATATTAACATGTTAATCACTTCCAAAAGTTAAAGGGTTTAAATTATTAAAATTTCTGTGATTTGGAGAGTATTTCTTCATTTTAATCAGACAAACAGCACAAAAAAAACCCCCCACCATTTCCAAAAAAAAAATGCAAACAAGAAAAACTAATCATGAGTCCATATTTTTTAGATATGATAATAAACATTAAATGCTAGAACTGATAACAATAAGATACCTCTTAAGAGGGCACTACAGCAGACTTGGCAAACACGACCTTCCTTGTTGTCCAGATAAGGTAAAACAAACTTCATATTACAGCAAGATGAACAAAGAGCCTGCAATTAACATAATTCAAATAGATGACTACTGATTTAAATCTAACGACATATTAGTAGTAATCTGTTAAAAAGACTTAAATTGCAAAAACTCGAATACAAGAACTTGTAACAAAGACAATTATGACTTTTGTTGTTGTTGCATAACATAATTATGCAACCTGAGGACATTCTTTCTTGAATAATCTCTGCAATTAATGGTTATTGTACAGTGTTACACAATTTAGGAGCAGATCGCTTTCTGAAAAACTGTTCTGAATGGTCCTCAAGACAAGTTATGGCTTAGAGCCATTCCAAAGAACCTCAATATTAGTTTTAGAGTTTATTTTTGGTATTTTGTCCAACCATACACAATTCTTTTGACAACTAAACTACACAATCGTAAGTTTACTTTTTGCATCTATCTGTTTTACAAATAATTACCTTAAAAGTAATTTTTGTGACACCTGTCAATTCAGGAATAACACTGGGTTAGGGTTAGGTATATTCAATGATCAAGCATTGCATACATAAGCCTCTATATGCAATTAAATTTCTGCACAATTTCTAACCAGCATAAAAATTGAAGAGTGTATTGTGAGCTACAATACCTTTCCACAAGCTCTGCAGTGATGTCTCCTCTTCAAAACACCAAATTTCAACCCGCAGTTCATACAGTGAGTAGCTACAGAATCAGGCACCCAGATGGGTGGCACTCTGCCAAGACAAGCTTCTCCTGAGGTGATACGGCGAGCCTCAACTGCTCCTTGAGACTGCAATGTCATGGTTAATTGAGGAGATTGTGTACCTTCATCGCGATGGACTTGGCTAAACTGATTACCTGTGTCAAAACTCTCTTGTTCTGAACCATTATACATGTTTGTTATCGTAGGGTCATTTTGAAAAGAAGCACCAGAATCTGCATTCTCATTCTGTGCATAAAAATCCTGTGTTTCTGTCATATGAGTTTGATCAGAATATGTAGAATAAGTTTCAAACTGTGCACCAGCTACTGGCACGTTAGACAATCCAGGTTCACAAAGACGTTCACCTTGAGATTGGTCATATGATGTTACATTACTACCATAGGCAGATGTACCAACATCCTGGGGATGCAAAACAGAGGTGGTTGACGATTGTTCAAGAGTCTCCCCTTGTTCTGAAACAACAAATTCATTCAAACCATACTGGCTAGCCTCATCGTCTCCTGGCTGTTCTGAGTTATCTCTAGATGTATCTTCAGTCCAGCCTACAAATTCTAAATCTTGTGTGTGCTCAGCAACACCATTTGCTACCACTGCTGAGTGTAATCTTGACTCATCAATGTCACCATTGATTTGTTTGTCTACATGATCAAAATTATAACTGTTTGCTTCCTGGCCATCAGATGCTCTATCACTCCTTTCTTGAGTCATCAATAGGCTCTCCCCATCATCAAGTGAGCTGACATGGTGGTTTGTGTGCTCCACACCATTCAAGTCAAAGTGCCCAGCTGTGTTAACACTCTCAGAAGTGTCCTGTGCATTTTCCTGCAAAGTACTATCAACAAGTAGGGAGACCACACTTTCCTCCAGTTCTTCTAGTTCATCCCTCAAAGTCTTTTTAGCCACATTTTGATTAGTAATAGCTTCAGCTGCTTGAATCACTCCATTAATACTACTGCTATCATCACTGTCATCATCAACGTCCTTCTTGCTGTCGGCAGGATATTGGTCAGGCTCCTGATCTGACAATACCTCTTCTTGGATTGAAGGGAATGGAGACTGAAAACTCTGTGTTGCTACTCGCTTTCTGTCAACAGCTAACACTTTGACTGTACTGGTTTGATCTAGCTTTGGTTCTAAATTTCAAAATTGAAAGCATTACAAATATTAATAATCAATAGTTGAAAATAATTTTCAAATAGTTTTAGTAATTTAAGCATTTATTGCTTGATAGTTAAAGATTAAAATGGCAATATTGAAAAAGGACCTTCCTGCAAACTGTCATTAATATCAACACCAAATAATGTTCATTCTTCTTAATCAATTTCACACTTTTATTTCCTTAATAGTTCTATACCAATAGTTTATTTGTTTTCATTTCTTTGTAGCAACATGACATTCCCAAATAGAATTTGTTTCATATTGCTCACTTTTAACCTTTTACTATATGCTTCACAAAATCTCCAACTTTGGTATTCAAAACTGCTTCAGCTTTTGAATTTAACTCATTTAATACATGGCTAAGGACAATCAGAGCCAATGTGTAAACATCACAGACATTTTACACTGACAAATTTAATTAGCAATGTTTACATCAAAAACATATTGGCCTGCTTTTTACCAATCATGCCAATGTTGAGGTAATTTCAACCAAATAAATAGTAAGACGACTCAACAAAAAAGAACATTATTTTTAATTAAAAGTTAACCTCATATTGAAGAGTACTTTTGTTTTGCAAGCACCCATCATATCTTACAACACAAGGACTTGACTCTAACCTTCTTCCTTTTCTTCAAATTCATCTAATAGCTTGTCTAAGTCCACAGGAACAAAGGTACTGGCCATTCTGCAAACACATTTCACAAAGACTTTAGCTGTAGATTCAAGCATGACACACAAACCCCATCCCTTTTAAGTTTTCTCCAGTGGAGTCCTGGAATTTCATAAACTCTGTAAGTGCAAGTTTAGGGGAGCACTGGGATGCCAAAATGGTGAGAGCACTCGCCTCCCACCACTATGGCACGGTTCAATTCCCAGACCTGGCGTCACATGTAGGTTGAGTTCGTTGTTGGTTCTCATCCTTTACTCTTAGAGTTTATATCTGGGTCCTCCAGTTTTCCTCCTTCCCAAAAACCAACTTTTCAAATCCTAGTTTGACCTGGAGTGGAGTGTTTTTAACATGAGCCACCCGTTGAGAAGATTGGGCAACCACTTCCTACATTATCAACTTTAAATCAATTATTTATTTATTTACAAGTTTCGTCTTAGGAAGGGCCTGGACTTTAGAGGAAAAACTGAGGCTTTTATGCAATAGAACCAGGTAAAACCCTTTGGTACTTAAAGAGTGACTAGCATCTCATTTCCCTTAGGTGAATTTCTCATTTTGTAACATTTTTTAATTAGTAAATTAACTAATTAGTTGTAATTTAGTAAGTTAGAAATTTTGCATTTGTAAACCTTATCGCAATTCAGCTCTTGGCTGCAAGCTTTTTAAGGTGAATAATCTATCTATCTATCTATCTATCTTATGCCTGTGCATGTAACAGCATCACCCCTGACTCAAACATCAATATAAGGGGAAAAAAGCAAATGATTGTCAACAAAGAAGGTTATGATTGTCAAACCAATTCTCCTTAGCTTGTCGGTACCACAGGAGATGTATAAAAGTCAGGATGTAGAACATACTTCATGATTAAGGTGAAAAAATGGACAAGATTTTAGTCCTTAACATGACTAGTTCCCCTGACAGTTAAGGATTGTTAGTTATTGCCCTCGTAGGAATAAGACACTGTGAAAGCTAAGCCTCTTGCAAAACAAAGTAAAACAATGCACTTAACCTGAAGTAAAAAACCCCTTCAAAACTATTGGATTAATAACAGAAAAAAGCATATGACACCAAAAGAATGCAACCAAAAAAGAGGTTTTTTAAAATAATAATAATAATAATAATAATAATAATAAAAACAACATAATGTACTGCAAAAAAAAAAAAAAAAAGTAAAATACTGTCTTCTTTCAATATTCTCCATATAGAATTATATGCTATAGTTCTAACATAACTAAGGATATTTTTCCAGGGATTCCAAAGAATAAATAATCTAAAGTATTTAAACCGTATTCCACTCCAGTTGAAACATATTTTAATTGTATCATGACAAAGAAGAAATGCTAAAATTTGCACTGCAATGTGATAAGATCTTCCCTTGTGTCGTCATAATTAAAATGAGGTTCACACCATTATTTCTCAACATCAGTGTTTTCCTGTCGACAATTTCATTTTTTTAATCAGTGTATATTCGATCTAAAACGGGTTTGTCCCAAATTCACTATTAAACTAAAAACTGCAAACTCCTTCTTCTAAAAAACCAATCACAACATAATTGCAAAATCGTTGTACTCTTTTGTAGTAACTCCAAATGCACAGTTGTTGACAAAGAAATCTTAGAATTGTTAAGTATGTTTTCGTTTCATATTCAAGCATAAATACGTACGTGTTTATTCTTTGACTAAACGAAAGGTAGTCGGTTACAAGCTACAAACGAATTTTCCTCTCTTTAAAGTGATCATAGGTCCTTAAATCAAGCAAATCACCACAGCGAAGTCAACATGCAATCTTTTAGAACGTTTCAGGGAAATTATCCTTGGAATTGTCTTGATCACCTCACCTGCAAGGTCCAAAGTTCCGCCGCAATCTATCATTTCACATGGCTTTTACATAAAGCTGGCGATGACAGGCCACTAAATATCGAGGTTGAACGTTCTCTTGCTGAAAAGAACACCGTTCAGTCTTGAAAAGCTGAAATTTTGCTCATAATTTTGAATACGCAACATAAACAGCTTTCGCTCGCCTCTTGTGAGTCTCCCGTGAGTTCACGTTAATGATCAGCAGTAAAGGTATGTTGTGTAAGACTTCATGAAGTATCACATTTGCATATCCACACCTTTCGTTTTCATGCCGTAGACGCTTTTCTCTCCCAGCAGGAGTATAAGAATTGTTTTTTTTTTTTCACTTACCCTAATTTCTGAAAATATTGCCACTCCTCCTGAAGATTACAATAGTGGCTTCTCTAACCCACTGTTTGTTTCCATTTGCTTTATTACCTTGGTTTTGGTGAGGCTTAATTTAGAAATAAAAATTTCCATATGCTCATCTCAGTTGGATTTGAAATTAAAACGGATCTCCTCGAAAAATTAAATGCGGTCAACAGGTATTGGTGCAAAAAGTACATCTGTAAGGGTTGTCCCACCCTTGAACATGTTATGTACTTTTGAGCCTTCAGTCAATGTTCTGAAAAAATGAAACTTCAGGAAGGTGGAATTTGTTATTTTCATGGCCTTTTGTATTTCTGTTCTCAGAGCAAAGAAGATCACTATTCTATCCTCAAAGAATATTTGACAAACATTTCCCTGCGCACATCCTGGGGTACAAAATGATGAACAACCTGCAATTAAAAAAAACAGATATACAATCTGCTCTCAATTTTTAACAAATTAATTGGTGTGGATGACTGCAAAATTCTTTAAAAGTGATTAGAGTGATGAACAATAACACAGCACACAACACTTAAAACAGAAAGGATGCCCTAATGTGAGAACTGCCTCTGCATGCTTTTCCAGTTGGAGGGGAGGGATCTTAAAACCTCTGTCATAGTGATATTTGAAGACATGCTAGACTGTTTCATCAAGCTTAGATACAACATGATTAGACCCCCTTTGTTGGACAAAACTCGATCTGGTGGATAACCAGAGGCGGATCCAGGAATTTTTGATTGGGGGGATCCAAACTTTGGTTCAGAAAGGACTGTTGGACTCTTTGAGGCAAATTAGTTCTCCCCCACACCCCCTCCCACCAGTCGCGGTTGCACGTTATAATTCGTTGGGCGCTTACCATTTATTTGGATTCATTAATAAAATCAGCCAGTTAAAAGTGATATACGAACCTGTCTCTAAGTTGTAAGCATGAGGTTTGATAGGGGGTCTGGAACCCCCGGACCCTACCCCTGGATCCACCACTGATAACCTTATAAATTCTGCTATCGCTTATCCACTGGATAGCATGGTTCAAGGTTCATGGTTCATTTATTTCACATTATTTACATAAAATTAACATAAATTAGATAGAAGAGTAAAATTGCAACAAATGATTAGAGCATAAAATATATAAAGTACAGATTATAAAAATGTGTGTGGTGGTCAAAGAAGCAAGGCTTACTAGTTCCCCACCACCTACTTTTAGATAAACAAAGAAATGGCACTGAGCTAGGATTGATGTGCAAGAGAGAATTATGTGTTTATAATTTAAGGTATGTTAGAGATATACTGAACCAAGCAAGAAAATCTATACAGGACAAGCTTAATAAGAGAAAAACAGACACACATACAAACAAACAAACAACAGCAACAACAATGAATGAAAGCAGAAACAGAAACAAAGGGGAGGAAGAGAACAACACATCATCAGCAACAACAGCAGCAACAAAGACCAAAATATAAGCAGACAATTATTAACTCTGTTATTATTATAATTATAGTTATTTACATATGGATAGTTATGTACTATAATCATTACTAAATAGTTACGTACTAAATAGTTACGATAGTTACCTACTATAATCATATCCACATGTTAATTTGCGCAATATAAATATTAAATTATTATTATCATAATTATAATAATTTTGATCACTAAACAGATCATATAATTATTATTTTATTGACAAGAGATCAGGTGGGCCATATAAAGTTTCTTAAACCTGTTAAATGTTTGGTTTTTTTTTGTGATCCACCATTTACACAACTGGACCCTGAATGCTGGCCAAATTTGACACCAATTGGATTCACCTACAAAAGGTGATGCTTACCTCAGTGCTGTTAGCATCGACTTGGATTGTATAATCTAGATTGCCTCTGTGGCTTAAACAATTCTTACTGGAGCTACAGTCCACTCTGACAACCACATCACTGTGGGACTGGTAATAAACACAGCAGTAACATTAGTAACCTTTTCACATGTAATACTGACCAAAGAGAAATTTCTACTTACAATGTAAATTTTCAAGCAGAAAGGCAATGAAAAGAAAAGAAAAGTATCAACTACCAAGTATTATGTGGAGGCGCGGTGGCCTCATGGTTAGTGTGCTCGACTCCAGATTGAGTGGTCCGGGTTCGAGCCCCGGCCGGGACATTGTTTTGTGTTCTTAGGCACGACACTTTACTCTCACAGTACCTCTCTTCACCCAGGTGTTTAAATGGGTACTGGCAATTTAATGCTGGGGGTAACCCTGCGATGGACTAGCATCCCATCCAGGGGGGAGTAGAAATACTCCCAATCGCTTCATGCTACAGAAACCGGAGTTAAGCACCGATCTAATGGGTCACTAGGCTCAAAAACAGACTTTTACTTTTTACCAAGTATTATGATATAGGGTCAAATTCTTGGAAATAAAATCATGAGAATTCAAATGGGAAAGATGATAAATTTTGAGCTTGGTACTGACAAAGAGAAAGATGCTTTTCTACTTAACACCAGTGGGGGACTAAGAAAAAATTCTAAGTCCCAGCCATTAGGAACAAAACCTTGGGCCTTCACCATTGTTTCATCATTTAAGTTGCTCTAACTGATGTTTGATGACTTCAAATTTGGCAATTGAAAATGAAACGTAGTGATTTTACCCTACGTAAAATTTAGTTTTTCAGTTTTATAGGTAATTTTTCTTCAGTTCAAGCTGGTTTGCTAGCGTCTAAGCTTTAGAGTAGTTGTCTTTTGCTCAGGTTAAAAAAGGAATTACTTTAAAAGTCTACATTCAAACTAGACCTGAATAGTTCCATGAAATTCTCACCATGTTCTGTAATGCCATGGTCACTCTGATGGCACTTTCATATTTGAACAAAACTAGGTCCCTCATCCCCTTTATATTTTCCTTTTTGGTTACATTGTTTAACACTGATGATACCACAGCTTTACGTACAGCTTCATTCTTGTTTTCCACAACTGAATTCACTTCTATTGTTGGCCTACACCTGTTACAAAACACCTCAAGCAAAAATGGACTTGCCTATGAAATGAAAATGAAAATGAAAATAAAAATGAATGAATGAATAAACTCCACCAGATCTGTTAACAGTGTTAGCTCCAACTGTCAAAATAAGTATTTATAGGGAAAAAAAGCTTGTGTCTTTAAGGAAATAATAAGAACTAAAAAAAAAAAATGTACATAAACAACCTCATGCATGCAAAAAAAAAAAAAGTGTATGGCAAAGACATATATTGGTTTAATTCATGGCATTTATATATACACTGTAGAGCACAGCTGATCAGAATACTTAGGATGGAGATTCTCACATCATGGGAGTTCGCAGTTTAAAACTGAATTGTTTACTGAGGGATTTCATGGTCGTTATCTGTAAGAATGCAATAACTGTGATTGGCTTGTCTGTTCCGCATGTGCAGATTGTTGTAGTTGATGTCACAAAGAAAACAAGCATTCGATGGATGTGTATATATCACTGCTTTGTATTTTTTGCCAAGCATAGCTGGCCCCCATAGCATGACTGATTTTCATTATGCACTTGATTCATTGACAGCATGTACCATGTACAAGAGCTTTGACCAACCCCCACCCCTCTTAATTTGCGACACTTGTGAGCACTACCAAATAAGGTAATGAATATGTGCGAGGTAAATCAGACAATGAGACACAACAAAATACTAGCAAGTTTTCAGAGAAAGTTTTCTATAGTTAATTGTTAGTTATAAGTCCCCTTAGTGAGTTATTTTGTGGGGAATAAACATGCAAATGAAGAAGAATCCGTGAGTTCTGGGTACCATTGTGAGGATTGGCTCAACCATGGTGATACAATACAATACAATCCTTGATTACTTTTGACATTCAATTGAAAATTATTGTTATGAGCACTAACATTTTACCTGATCCAACTCAAGGGCTTTGTTATAGCCCATATTCTCAAGAGTCAGCCATAGGTCATTAGGATCACCATCTGCATCTTGTGCTTCCATCATGTTCAGGTCCAGGAATCCTTTCAGAGTTATTTCATCATCCTTCATTTCAAAATTACCTAAAAAAAAAACAAACAAACAAACTGCTGCTGTAAATAATGCATCCATTGCAATTTCATGACTTTCCCTGCCTTTTGTAACAGCTGTTTGATGTTTTCCATGACCTGCAATCAAAGGGTTGGTTCAGGAACAAGGTGATTTATGATTGTGCAAGGAAGGCATTTTTCTTTCTTTTCATCCTGTACGGGTCTGACATTTCTCAGAAAGTCCTATGTGGATTTGACATTGCCCGGACAGTCCTACATGGATGTGACATTGTTCAAACAGTCCTAAAAAGGTTTGACACAACTCAGACAGTTCTAAGTGGATTTGAAATTGCTCAGACAGTGCTAGATGGATTTGACATTGCTAAGACAATTCCTTATGGATTTGACATTGCTCAGACAATACTATATGGAATTAACATTGCTTTGATAGTCCTTCATGGCTTTGACACTGCTCAGACAATGCTTCAAGGATTTGACATTGTTCAGACAGTCCTAAATGGGTTAGACACTACTCAGACAGCCGGTTCTATAAATTATGGGTGTGACATTGTTCAGACAGTTCTACAGCGATTTGACATTGTGCATACAGGGTACAGTAGCTCAATACTGTGACTGATACAGAATTATTTATCTGTGTACTTAAGACTCATGTTTAAGCCTTAGCTGGGTTAGGGTGTTATGGTCCTGAGAGGACAACATGTGATTGTTCCTTTTTTATTGCAGCCGATCAGAATATTACCTTTCATAATTTCCCATGCATCATCATCACAAAGGTCTCCACCAGATTTAAACTGAAACAAGTCAAATTCTTCACGACTTAAATATCCATTCCCATTGAGATCACAACCATCAAAGATTTCAGACAGGGCTTCCCTGTTTCAATGAAAAACAAAATCAGAAAAGTTCATATCAAATTGCACAACAATTTTCTAAATACATTTTTAGATTTTCTACGAGCCTGGCTAAACAGTTACCTTCTTTAGCACTGAATTAGTTCTCTTCTGCACGTGGTTCGAATCCCGTACAGGCCTGATTTTTTTCAGGTCTGATTTTCGCTATTGCATAAATAGCGCTCTCTACTGCGAGGATCGTGCATCATACGTATCTAATACCGCAGTTCAAAATATATCAACTTCATATAATTATTCATTGTATCTTCTGCATTGTGTTGCCTACAAACTGCATTTCTTAGTGGTGAAAATTCACAGTGAATGAGTTGCTGGCAATCAGATCCTTGTGATTGCAAAAATACTTCTGGGATCACCAGAAGTCAAACATTGTAATTCATTTTGGTAGAAGGAAATATATGGCAAAAGGTTGTTTCAATGTAACAAAAAAAAAAGATTTTGGATAGTACTTTTGGGAATGGGTCAAAGCAATTTTGATGTGAGAGATGTGTAAGTTTTTGTTACAAGAACCATGAAATACGAATTTAAATCTACCAATAAACTTCTGCCTTGTGCAAGGTTTTCTATGAAATTGACATTGCCTAGTGGTCTTGAAAACAACTCAAATCATTAAAAGTCATTTACTTAAAGATCTTGCTTAGTTTGAGGTTTTCTCCATGGCCTGTGGTGAGGTTCACTAGTTTGGCAGGTTCTGCTTCTCTAACCGAGAGCCAACAACCAGTTGTGAATGTTATTAAACTGTATGTCCCTTTTTCCAGCTCACAGCGAAAACAATATTTCTAAAAAGGCAAAACAATACTACTTAAAAGAAATAATTATATACTGTACACTATAATTTGTAAACAGCCAGACTGACTTCCCAAATCTAAGAAAATTAAATGCTGTCTCATTTTGTACCAATACTCACTGGCCCAAGTTTGGACTCTGTAAATGCAACCACTTCTGAATTCTTGTCTATACAGAACACTGCCATGTCTATTGCTCTCAGTTGATCTGCTATTAAGTTGAAAATGAAACAGCCTTCTGTTATGCATTAATTTAATTTTAATTTAGTCCATTTTCACTGCATTAAGTTTTGCAGTGGGGAAGGACTAGAAAGGAACATAGGAACCATTCGTGCTAGTCCACCCTCCCACCCATCCCACCCCAGGGGAGGACATCCATCACACAGTAATCTCGTGTGTGGGAAATCAATGTCTCCTACCCCAACCCTGCAGGAGACGGGACCTCCATTTATTCGTCCCTATCTGAGAAGTCTAGAATATCTAACCATTTCTTGATGTTATAGAAAGGTAGCAAATTCTTCTCAATTATTTTAAGACCCTGAGTGCTGGTCCGGCCAGGGCTTGAACCCTCGACCTCCCGCACAACAGTCCAGCGCTCTATCCATTGAGCTAACCAGGAGGCAGTAAAATGCAGTAAAATGCATTGAACTAATAAATGTTTCATTCTTAAGATTCAAATTTTGAGAATATAAATTGAATCGCATTCTGGTTACCTTTCTTGTTTTTAGTCGATCGGATGGTAAGAAAGACTTCAGAGTCCTTTGTGAGGTGCAGTTTATAATGATGACTAGAAATCATTCCCTTTTTGTCGATAAAGAAACTGCCCTTGCTGCTTCCCTTATTCCAATCCTACAAAACAATGCAAGGAAATGAGTTTTGGGACTTTTTAATGTCCAAAAATTTTCCAAGTGAAGGAGTTTCTGAGCAAAGGTCATCATTAACGGCATTCAATCTGAAACATTACTTTTGCTTACTAATACCTCACACCAGCAAAACATGCTTTGCTAAACGTAGTTTAACTGCCAAAAATTAGAAACAGCAACATACATTTTCTGTAGGAACCTCGACTTAACGAACCTCTAAATATTAACAAGTTCCGCAAGACAGTAAAACAAACGATACTTCAGTTTCAGCCCACCTAAAGTTACAGTAAAACATTTGCCACAGAACCTTGATATAACAAACCCTCGATATAACAAACCAGCTTCCTCAGAGTCCCTTAAGTAGCACTTCGTTAAGTCAAGGTTCCACAGTAAGGAAGCCTGTACTTCATATGCCCCATGGTTTCTTTGGCCTTCCTTTACATTTCTCTCCAAACTAATAAGTATCATTATAGTTCACCAGAAAATTTTCTCTGGTTCTTATTAGTTTAAATTGATCCCGTGACATGATAGTGTTCATCCGTGCAGAGACACTATCAGCCCATAGTGCCCGCCCGCGGAAAATACCCGGATGGATAGTGCCGTCCGCGGAAAATACCTGGATTGATTGTACTCATCCTTGAAAAGTTTTGAATAGCATATTTGCCCTCAAAGCTTCGCTTCTCGGGCAAATATTTGTTTTAAGAACATCAAATTTCCACGGGGCAACTATCAGACCAATAGTTCCTCAACAGACACACTCTATTGTTTAAATAGTGTTTATAGTTATTGGTGACAAAATAAAACCCTCACCTTGGAGACAACACTAACTAATAACGACTGGCTTTAGTCTAATGTAAATCAGTACAGAATATGCCATTATACCATCAAGTTTCCAGGCTCCTGAAGGATTTTTCTACTTATGGACTGTCTTCTATTTGTACCAGAATTTGATAAAGAAGGAGAAGTAACATCATCATCATCAGCTCTTGCTAGTTTCTTAAGGCTTTTCTGTTTCCAGTCCTCTGCTGTAGTAACAAGTAGTGCCGCAAACTGAAGGAATAATAATTATCATTTCAACCTTTAAAAACCCTTGAGAGGGACTGCCATCTAAATTCTCCATAGAGAATCACCTCTGAATGAATCAAAGATCAAGGTTGTGAGAATGAAGAAAATGATTTCTGACTGAAGAAGCTCTTGATTGTTTGACAAATTCTCCTTGTTAATACCACAGGAAATATAAAGAGGAATGTGTGGAGAATATACAAACTGATGTGAGCGTGTAAAGAGTAAATATTTTCAGTTTTGTTATTATGATGGTTTTCATTTTTCACACTTTCTATTGATGAGAAGGAATCTATGCAGTTAAAGTAGCATAAAGCCACAACATCAATTTAATGAAATTATTCAATAAGTGTCTGGCATTCTAAAGTAGTTTTTACTGATCTAAAGCAAAGGTGAAGCCTTTGTATAATAACTCTATTCCATGTAATATGTACATACCTCATTATAATCCAGTTTTCCATCGTTGTTTACATCAGCATCATCTAGAATTGCCTGCACCTCAGATTTGGTCATGCGTTCTCCTTGCTGTTAAAGACAACAAAACTTAACCCAGGGCTCAATGTCAATAACTTTTCAACTTACTAGCCAAGTAGCTGGTGACAACTTAGATGTTACAACAATTTCAGTTTGTTTACTAGCCAAACTGGCTTATGGAAGTCGAAAAACCACTAGCCAAAATTGAAGTTCTACTCATCGGTGGCTAGTTGGCTACCATTAGCGTTGAGCCCTGTTAACCATTCATAAAAACAATAAGACAACAAAAAACCAGAGCGACATTATAGATATATCCAGGCAAGCAATCTCAACAAAGACTATCATAAACATGTCTGATCAGTTTGTTGAGGTGCAAAAATGAGACATTTGAACAGATCACACACATTTTTTACTTATCGCCAAACAAGACAGGACTTTTTACTTCAGGAGGGTCACTAAACTCCTACACTAGTTTCTTCCTAACATAAGGAGACATGTTGTAGAGTATTCATGGGCCAAGTGATCACTCTCCACTAATTCAACTGTATTTTATTAAATAATCAAGATAGTATGTTTACCATACAATACTTGTACAGTAATTAGTTATTTTACTTTTACTTAGGGGAGTAGACTTAGGACACGATTGAGTAATGGAAAGTTCCTCACAGTGGTAACATTTTGTGACTCTATGTAATGCAATACACTACACATATAACATCACTTTTTCTAAACCTTGCTTCTTGACAGATGGGAGCATCACATCCATTTTAACGAACCTTCCCTCTCCTTGCTTTATTCTAAGCTAAATCCACTCCAATCCACAGATTTCTAACTGACTGAGTGACATAAATTTCTTCTAAAGTATGTTCTGAGAATTTGGTGTGAAATCAAATAAGTTAATAGGTTGATAAGTTTCCTCATTTTCATCACCTGTCTTCCTGATAATGTAGTGATCATGCGAGGAGAAATTACCCACTGATCACTCCTGAGTGAAAGGGATTTGTATAACTTAGAAAGCTGGAGAACACCATTACCTTTGTCAACAGTCTGAACAATTCATCATGTGTTATGAATCCATCACCATTGGTATCTATACATTTGAATGCTTTTAACATAGCTTCCTTGTCGAGAGGCTTTTCCTTCCTCATAATGTCACAGAAATCATTGTAAGATATACTATCTGCATAAAGGAAATAAATGAAAGCAGAAGATTTATAATAATGATACTTGAAGATAAATAAACAGCGAGGAAATGTAATAAAGGTCAATATGGTAAACTTAGGCTCTTGCACAAGAAGGAAAAAAGATGAATAAATTTAGGAAAGTATGTTTCAATATTTGTCTCATTTGTAATCTTTATTAGTATAATTTCTGAGCTGAGCAAAGAGTTTCCAGCAATCTGATTGGTCGAGCGGTTCCTTATATGACGCTATATAAACCGCTCCACGCGGTTTATTTAAAATGTTAAAATAAAATGTTAATAAATGTTACTAAAAATTTAATGTCATGATTTTAGAAATTTCTCTGTTGTTCAGCTCTGAAATTATACTAAATTAATTTATTCGACAATATTCACCTCACCTTCAGCAAATAATTGTTAAATAGGATTAAAAAGTGTTTTCCAGAAAGATACAAGGCATGATGAGCCAGCAATCTTAGGTGTAAGAGAGGTGATAGATAATGGAAAATTTCTACCTAACCAAAGATGAAAAGGAGTTTTTATGCCTTGTGCAGTAGCCATGGATTTGATTGTTCCTTGTGAAAATATTCTAACAAAATATATACTACTGAATTGTCAACTGAAGGCATAATGTACACAGTCTGAAGAATTTCATGAAGAAATGACTGTTCCAGGTGGACTGCAACTGCAGAAAAAGAAGCCTGAAAAATTCAGGGTTTAGGTTTTGAAAAAATAAAATTTAATTCAGTAAAACTGTGATGAGATTTCTTAAATTGTAACCTCCACACATTGCGTCACTCCCAACGCATGGCTTTATAGGTCAGTTACTTTGCAGTAACTCCAACTAGTGTCTGAGAGGTAGGGATTCAAATACCATCGAAGCTTGAACTTTTTCAAACTTCCAATCAGCAACTGGTAGAATTACAGTCCACCAATGCGAGGATCATTTCTTTTGCTTGATTTTCATCTGACAGTCAAATGAAATTCCTTTAATTTAAATTGTAATTTCAAGTATACCAGGACAATGGGGAACATTTTTCCTATTGATCAACCACTCTCTAACCCTCACACAATGTACTAAATAAATAGTAGGACACAATTAAAAATAAAAGATTTCTAAGAGTTCAATTCTGTGAAATTTACTGGAAAAAGGTTATGGCTAATAGTGTCAAAACATTATTTAGCATATTCCTTTAATAATCCTAATTAATCATAAAACAAATAATGACTTTATTAAAAGAGCCTAAATATTCTCACCAGTATCGTGCTTCCAATATTTTTCAGCAAACTTCCGAGAAGGATTCCTTCCACCAAATTGAAGTGCTAACCAAAATAGAAAATAAAATTTCTTCCAATAAATGTATTTCACAGGTTATTTACAATAAACTGAACACCTTAAAAATGAAAAATGTCCATACTCTGTAGGGTTGGTTACACTGTATATATTCAAAAAAAATTTGAGAATAAAAGCTCCTTTACCCTTTCACTCCCACGATCTAATCAGTAATTCTCCCAACTGTCTGTCAAACAGTTCTTAAGATGTTAGTTTGGAGAATTGGATATTGGATCGACTCGTAATCCTTAATTTATATTTTCTTAATTCTCATCACCTGTCTGGTCGATGTGGTATTGAAGTTGTAAGAAGAAATTCTGTCTTGGTCACTCATGGGAGTCGGAAAGGGTTAAGGCTGATAGGCAGGTTGCTAAAAGTGGGATTTAAAAGAATAATGAAAGGCTCCTTAGAGCAACCTCATGGTATGAATTTTTGGCACCCTTGACGTAACCTGCGATCTGGCTTTCTTAACTTTGGAAAGACTTTTTGATCACGGGCAACACGAGCTGGCACAATTATTGTGTTTGTAAGCGTTTTGATGGAGAAAAATTGTCTTAAATTGCAAATGTGTGAATAATTAGATACCGGCAGCTAAAAGATGAAATCAATGAAGTTTCATGCTTACCAATTTGCAGTAAGCTTAAGTTCACTTCATATTCGCAGTGTTTGGGTCTTCACGCACGAATCGTTCATGTTATCGTCACTTTTAGGACTCAGTCACCCATTTCTCTGCAGTCAAGTATTCTGTAGCATAATTTATTTCCTTTCCATTTTTGGCTCCACAAAGGTGTTTTGATCAAGTTTGGAATAAAAAAAACCATGCACACTTCAAGGGATGGGACGCCATTTGAATCTGTCCAATGTAGTTCGGCATATTCTCACCTTTGTACCACCCCCCAAATATACGTACACCATGACTTTGAACAGGGAAACTTGTCAGGGAAGGGGAGGAAAAGTGTTTAATCCAGGTTTAATGCATAAATTAATGTCTAACAAAGTGAGTGAGTGATTTTTAATTGAATTTTGCCCCCAAACCCTAGACCTCAGAGCATGACTTACATCATACCATGAGGAAAAAATGATAAGATTTCTCATTCCAAAAAGCCCATGGTTAATTCATTGTGTACATAATTTAAATGGGTTTGAATTATAAATCCCTGACTATGAATGGGAAAAGTCCACAAGCAGGCTAACATTTGAGGTTGAAATTGCTGAGTGACATAAGTAGAAAACTATGAGGTAAATTGGAAGCAATAATTAATATGCTTATTCTTAACCCTTGGAGAATAACTGGCATCTAATTTCGCCTTACAATATCATCCCTAAATCACACATGTAAGTCATGAGAATAAATGAAACGATCATCAACTAAAGAACCTCTCGATTATCAAACAAATTCTCCTTGTCAGCAACTTAGGAAATTTATAGAGAACAGTATGGAGAATATGTACGCTGATGTTAGGGTGTAACAGGTTACGTTGATGCAGTGATCATTATGATAAACTAATCAAAAAAATTACATTATTGTCAAAATGAGTTATCAAAGCTTGATTTTTATCTCCTTGTCATTCTGAATCATGCCTTATCATTTGTGTGTAAACCCACCAAAACCCGCCCAAATCGCACTCCCCTCTAGCAAAAACAAACCTCACGACTCCCGCAAGTTGTGATGAATTTCATATTTTCATCTGTATACAGTCTAAGTTTTTCTTACCAAGGATCAGTTCGTCAATGGAAGTAATTTTCTCTGTTGTAGTACTTAAAACAGCCAGGTAAGCGGCGCGGCATTCCTTCATAAAATTGTCAAATTTCGCAGTCGATTCTCTTCGGACTTTCTCCGAGAACGACACATTCGATGCTCGCGATGAAATACTTGAATTAGACGACCTTCGCACTGGTTTTACCCGCTTTACCTCTGACATTCCTGTAAGAGACTTTCTGAAGTCCTGTCTAGCTAAATTGTTTTTTCAGCATGATGATGTATAGCTCCTGTCACAGAGAGCGCGCCATCTTTGTTTCTTTGACGGTGGCGTGTAGAACTGCTGACAAACACTACCTTGGTCTCAAGGCAACGGGGACTGGGAAAAAATTGGGAACGGGGAGTCAGAGGGAACCTCGGAGTGGGCCTGACACTTTCATTACACGAGTTAATTAAACAAAACTAGACGCATTGCTGCGTGAACACGGGCTTTCAATGTCACACATCTGGAGTTATCTTTAGGGCTGGGGTCTGCCATGTTGCCATTGTTACTGTCGTCACGCAATTTCGTCATTGCCGGTCATGAATAAGTCTATTTGTGTTTATTTTTGTCTGCTGGAGTGTCANTACAAGATTTTCGAGAATTGATTTGCTGTCAACTGAATCAGACAATATTCCTTCACTGTAATCACTTTTAGGATCTAAACTTACTTCAGTTCCACAAACATCAACAGTTTTTGGCAAATCATCTGACAGTAAATACTTGTTTAAAGATGAATTTTCATATAATCTTTTGCCATACTGAATGACATTAGTTGAGGTGTTTGAATTCCAATAACTACATGATTTTATCACGGAGTGGCAGAGTAAACAGACAGCCACAGCACAACTCATATTAAACTTTCTGGTTTCACAGGCATGACTCTGAAAAAGGGTACTATTTTGAACTTTATTAATCTTAACCCCTTTCAACTCAAACATTTCATCGCTATGTATACTCTGAAAATAATGTACCAAGCTATTCAGTGATGATACTTCAAGCAGCACACGTGTACCTTGAGGATGGCTTCTACCATAAATATCCCTTGCATGAAAATAGAATATTTTCAAGCCCACATTGCCTTTACAATAGATAGCAACTGCAGTACATCCTATTATCAAGACAAAATTGTTGAGATTTTTGGATATGTGATTGAAAGGCTCTATCTAGGTAGGTACAGTACTGATATCCTTCTATTGTAGCTTCTTGATGAATAGTACCAGAGTGAAGCTTTCCCTTTATTGAAGTTCATAGTCAGTCTCGAACACATTTAAAAGTGTAGGTAATTCTGTCTGCATTAAAAATGATTGTCTGGTTAACTGAGACAAACTTGGATGCAACTGATTTGCAATATTCATTATTGAAAGCAGTGACATTAGCAGAATTTATTCCTTGTTTGTTATTGTAAATCAAAGAGCATAAACTCTTTGCAACACATTGTTGTCCTGAATTTTGTCCAAATACCAACTCATTAGCTTGGCTATATGGTGCCGTTATTGTTTTGCTAGGGTCAACGTACATTAGACACCTGGGTCTATTACAAGAAAACATTGATAAATACCGACTTGCTCTATACTTCAATGGAAAGAGTACCATATAACCCCGTACACTAATTATGCATTCCACTCCTTTGTCTCTCACGACAAACTTTAAAAGCAAAGTCTACTACTCTGAATGCATAATTAATGTATGGGGTTATATGGTACTCTTGCCTGTCTAAATACACGGTTGTGGTTACATGTGAACATAACATGAGATAGCTCGTTTGATATACCAGGTTTCGCTTGATATTTCTCGATAAAAGGTCCACTCGTAGAGGATCACTCGTAAATTGATCTCTTGTAAAGTTCGCGGACCGACCCGTTCCCAAAACGCTCCACAAGTTTTAGTGTGGGTCTATCGCGAACAGTGTGTGACTTTGTACGTACATTGGGCGTAATAGCCATCGAATTTCTTTTGAGTCTTTCTACATCATGGGAGGAATTGTCCATGAAGGCAGCTGTACGGTTCATTCTACGCATGTGCTTACACTTCATGCATGCGCTGTAGTGGAACTGCCTTTGGTGACCTGAACGCAAAAAAAAGATGAAGTCGAATTTATACCTCGGGCGTTCCCTTCGGAAAGCCCGAGTAATGAGACTTGCGGTCTAATCCTGGGCTTTTTAAATTGGAGTCAGGGTTCCAAATTGAAACACATCTGCACTATTGACTGACTTTTAAGCCACTGTTTATATCACAAATGCATATCTTTTGAAATAATGATTGATAATGAATTTTCAGACCAAATAACGGAGCAATCGTCTGCCTTTTACTGTTGTACCGTACCGTTTTTTTGATAACCCATGTGATTTTCTTTAGCAGCTGCATCACGAGAGTTTTTTTTAGCTCAGAAATACTATCAAAAATAACTCTGTTTTAAAAAGAACCTACATATACGTCAAGGTATTCAAAGATAAAGGAAACTTGCTAGACTAAACAAACACCATAGCCTGTTAGGATTGAGAAATTCCCAGGTGTTGCGTTGAAAAACGTATTTAAAAAAAAAAAAAAAGGTAGAGCAATTTCCTAACGTGGAATGCAGGAACTGCGCAGTTAATCGTCTTGACAGCTTTTGATGCGGAAAATCAATTTGAATTCTCCTTATACGTCAAAATTGCTGACTCTCTACTCTTTGCCGGAAAACCTGCCATAAAAGCGAGTTTTCCAAAAATATCTTCGTAGTCATCTATTCTTTAAGTAAAATTGAGAAAAAAAAATTGAGTTGATATTCATTTTCGCACAGTGTAGATTTCATTTTTCGGTTATTTTTGGCATCGTTTGGGAAAATTTTGAAAGGATACCACAGGCGGAAATTGATCTGAAAAGAACCCTTCTCGGGTAACATCAACAACGCGTAGAACACCATGCTATTTTTTAAAGTGTCAGTACGTGACTCAAGGAATATCGTTAAAACTCGCCCATATATATATATGATAACTTGGTATAACAATAAAACCGAAACGACGTTTTCACTGAGTCCAAACAAGATGTGGAAATAGATTGGTGACGGAGTCAGTTAGAATTTAGTTCCATAGGTGAAAGTGCAAGTCGATTCAACTTGAACAATCTATCGAGTTTGTTTCAGTAAATATTGTTTTGTGTACAACTTGCAACATGTGTTGTTCTAGGGTCCGCTTATACAATATTTATGGATAATATTGAGAGTCAAACGTTTGAATTGTTATCAAGATCAATAAGCTTCATTAATATACATCGTTTTCTGCGTTTGAAATGCTGGGGGGTAGGTATTTTATCGGTTCTAGATCATTCTAATTCCTCAAGTTCTGTAACGAACAAATTCTTGTCCTCTTGATGCATGTTTTAATTTTGGCGATTTTTGTGGGTTTATCAGCGATTTGTAACAAAAGATACCTTGCTTATAATCCAAATAAAACCCACGTATGACTACTTTTCCGCAAAAATTCTCTGCACTCGTTAGATTCCTGATAAGAGTATTTGCAACAGAAAAGTAAATATCTGCTCTATTTAAACAAAATATTCAGAGATCTTATTTTATTAGATGAATGGAGATGAATTATAAAACATGAAAAATAATTATACATTTATCCAAAACATCACTTCTAAAACTATAAAACGTCGTCTAAGGCTTTGAAAGAAAATTAATATTCCTTTCTTTTTAAAATAATTACGTTAAGTGTCATTGTCTAGCAAAACCACAAAGACGGTTTATAGCAGAAAATTCCCGCTTTGGCAATATGCCGCTCGGTGAACAAATTCCTCTCCTAAGTCCAACATTAAATCCACTCCAGTACACTTTTCCGATTGTCACGAATGTTCAGCAAACAAATTGACTTCAAATTACGAACAAACATGATCATCCTGTGACCAAGTAAAATGTTTGCAAATCACAAAGTCCATTACAATTTATGTTTGATTACAAAGTTCGATATCGAATTTATCAATTCGTAATTTTTTTCTAAATCGTTATTTTACGAGTTTGAATGATGTAAGGACCTCGAAACTCTAAAAATTCGTAGTATGTAAACATCGAAAATTGCGAAATGAGCGCTTCAACGAAATCAAAACAACGTGTAAGAAAACATCACGCTTGATTGTCACAATCTGTTGGGGGTGTGTGGACGGCGCAGTGAGATTTATTTTGCTTGCGTTCAGTTCGTCAATATATTTCGTCCACTTTCGATTACCAGTGCTGTTTCTTTTGCTTCAAAAACACATTTACAACAAAATTTGACAAAAATATACGGCAATTTCATATATAAACATTGTGAACAAAATAAGCGTTTGATATGAAACACTGCGAGGGGTAGAATTGATTTCATTCCCTACTACAAGCTACTCGCTGTCTGATTTCCTCCTGGAACTTGTCTAAAATGTCTGAATATGCGTGAATCGTGCTAGCTTTTATACTAGGAAGCTTGGATGCTATTTTTGTCATGCCCATAAATGGTGTGAAATCTGTCGTATAGGCTCCTCTCGATCGATTGTATGATTGAATGTAAAATACAGCCAATGAAATGGCAGTTAAAATAGGCAAGTGACTCGCCATGAGAAACTGCTTATTTCTTCGTGTGCAGTGGACCAAGAAATGCTGGTAACGTGCAGGCATAGCTGAGTTCAAAATGTCCACCGTTGTCGACCCCTTTCTTTCAACGGTCACTTTGGATTTATTGCGTCCGAAGGAAACACTAGGAAACCCTGAAGAACATTTTAGAAAGGTAAGTGTATAAAGCATCAAATGGGTTTAAGCAGAGCGCTTTTAGCGTGATATGTTTAGTAGTAGTAAGTTACAGAAGTTAGACAGTTTCATACCGAGTTAGACCTTCTGTAGGACGAAACCAATTAACTCGAACATTTTTCATGTTCTCTTTTAGCTATGGTTTGAAATCGACAGCCTGAATTTTTCACAGTTTAGTAGCAAGGTGGATATTTTCGATGACAGCGGCGCATTCGACTCTGAGAGCTCATTCGATTCAGACTACGAGCTCAATTACAACGAGAAGTATTTCTGTCAGGAAGATCTGATAGAAAGCAAGCTGAAAGACACTGCCTTGCTGTGCGAGTTGCCTTACCAACAGGACGACGTTTATTTGGAGCTACGAGCAGCTAGTCCCGATGATTTATCAAGCTGCAGCCCTACTACCAGCGAGTCGTCTTCGGACGTTGAAATTCAACTCGACTCGATCGAACAGACAGATCTCACGTGCAGTGATGTGGAAATGAAACCCGTCTGTGCTGTTAGTACAACGACCGTGAAACAAACTTCAGAGGGAACGCAAACTGACAACGATGAAGGTTTCGCGGAATCGATGAAATCTGATTCTTTGACCAAACTTGGGAAACCAAAATTGACGATCGAAAGTTCCACAACCATCTCCGGGTCGCCAAAGGCCAACTCGAATACATTAAAAGGAATTAACACTTCAAATGCAAATGATGCGAAAGATTCCTCTGAATCTATTCCAGCACAGCTACCAAAAGGAAAGAAAACATTGGCAAGGACTCATAAATGTACATTCGAAGGTTGTAACAAATCTTATACAAAAAGCTCGCATCTCAAAGCTCATCAAAGAACACATACTGGAGAAAAACCTTACCAGTGCAACTGGAAGGATTGCGGTTGGCGTTTTGCAAGATCTGATGAGCTTACAAGGCATTATCGAAAGCATACCGGAATAAAGCCGTTTAAATGCACAACATGCGATCGAAGCTTCTCTCGCTCAGATCATTTGTCGCTCCACATGAAGCGGCACTACTAAAGAATTCTTAAGGCCTCATTGTATGACGATAAATCTTGCTAGAATATTCCAAGCTTGGTTTTCAAACTCAGAGCTGTAACATAATAAAAAGATCTATAATATGATATGTTCCAGTGATACCGTATGTACAATTCATACAACATAAACAATATTCCAAAACAGGAAGATTGTTAACCACCTGGTTCACCAGAATATCCAAGTGGAGTAAAGAATTTAAAAGAACAAAGAGAAGATAAGGTGGCTAATGCTGGTCCTGAAATGTGTACATTTATGTTTAAAAAATGGAAATAAATGCAAAGCATTAAAATGAGATGTTTTAACGAAATGTTTGTTTTCTTGTCATGACTTGTAGGTCATGTGCTTCTGTATAAACTACGAACTAGAAAGTCACAAGTCTGTGGCGAAAACTTACTTCGATGACAGAAGTCAAACTAGAAGTAAATGAGGTTGTATAAAGTTTTTCTCAAACCTGCAAAAGACAATTTTTGTGGTAATAAGTGGCCAACACTGTTTCTGAGTGAGGAATTGATGGATTGATGGATTTGGTTTAAAATTACTTTGTGCTGAACTAAAAGCAGGCCTTGACTCAGTTGGTCCAGATCTTTACATAATGTTCTTGAAAAGCTTTTCAGACTGTTAAAGTAGTATAAGCTATAAATTCTTGTGAAAACTTATTCTGTTATGGCTTGAATTTTACAAAATAAAAGTATGAGTAATGAAGCCAGTGAAACTAAGTAAAATCAAAACAAACAAAGGAGTTAGAAAATAAAAGCTAAAAAAGGTATGATAAGACACCTGACAGGTAATTTAAGAAAATTCGTTTTAAACCCCAGTAAGACAATTTCGTAAGACAGGGTCATGGGTTCAAGTCCCATCTGGGGCTCGGATTTTTTCTATTTCACTAAAAAGTAAGACAATTGACGAATTAAAAGTTGAAATTGAAGTACAGAAAACTTTTCTCTGAGGTGAAACAGAATGATTTTGCTTAAAACATGTCATCAGCACTGATAATAGAGAAATGTCACATCTGTGTTTTAATCACAAATATATCACATGTCATTCCTTTTATAATTTGTGGGTTAATTTCAATGTTTTTAGTAATAAATCATAAATGTCCATTTGTGTTTACAATATTTTCATTTTCCTTGTTTTGACAAGAATCATGGCAGCTGCCTTTTTTTGGCTTGATTATTCATGAGATTCAATGTACACAACAGATGATAGGGAAATACCTTAAAAGGTATCTGATCATAGCCCGCCTTGAGTTGAACTGATATGGATTTTATTGAAATTAAGGCAATGGATATGCCTCATTTTGTATTCCTCAAAAATGACCTCACTTCAGTGTGAATTATACAAGTCAATATTACTACTAAATATGATTAAATGAGCAGTGGTGAAAATGTTAATGATGATATCGTCAATTCGTCTGACCCACACAGATTTATAGGGTGATGTGGGACACAGAAAGCTGATTGCAATTACAGCAGTCAATCACTGCTGTGTGAAAAAAACCATTTGGAAAAACCTCTAAGAATGTGATGAATTAAGTTTTTTCAAATCCTGCACACCAAAATAAATTGAAGTCTCACATGAACATGAAGAATTACGATCCAAAGTCCCAAGTCCAATACAATAGTCAATGTCTATTTTAACAGGAAGAACGTTACCAAGCAAATTTTTAGTAAAGCAGAATAAAGATAACAAAGATTAAGCTAATGGGACGTATTTGATTTCTGGACAAGGAAAAGAAATCCTCCATTAACGAAACCATGAAAAAAATGCGACGCTTTTACGTTTTTCTAAATTTTTGTCAGAAAGATTAAGTTTTAAGTGTCACGCAACAAACATGTCACACACCATGCGTATATGCTTTATCGGGTGGTGAACTTTTCGTGTCACACAAAGAGCGACTTCCTTAGTCTGGGAGCAAAATTATTGCAGGTATGGGGACTATATCAACTAAGATTTTAGATGGGAAGGGAGTTCGAGGAGTTGACCGGAGAGGGATTAAAAATCTATGTTTGTATATCAAACATCTCGGTCAAAAGGATTAATATGAAAAAAAAAAAAAAAAAAAAAAAAAAAGGGAAAACTTTGTCCTAAGTTCATGTATTGTTCACTACTAGCAGGTTGATCATAGGGGGTCACGTGGTGTTCATTGCACTAAAAAAAAATTGAATGTCGTCAGGAGCTCATAAGTAATAAAATCAACCTCGTTCCCAGGGTCTCTCATCTTCCCGCCCTCTCCTCGCTCGCTCCAGGGGGGCGGGAAGATGAGAGACCCTGGGAACGAGGTTGTAAGGAAATTTACTCCTAGTGTCGGTCACGGGAAAGCAAGAAGGGATTAAAGACGTTCTCGGTCTTTCGAATTCTCTTAGATTTCCCTTTGGCCGAGTCAATATTTAATTTCTCTTCTTTTGTAGGCAGGGAGGAGGGGTTATATAATATCTCATATCATGATATAATATCTCATATCACGAATGCTCTCAGAACTTTTATATAGCGTGCCCGTCAGCTTTATATAAACCCTGTGATCAGCAAGTAGTAAAGTCTATGGAAAACGACCATGATATGACCAACTCCAGTTATAACCAACACATTTTAACGATAGCTTGGTTCTTGAAAAGGTCACTTTGTATTTTCTTAATCTTGCATACTGCCAGAACGTAGGTGTTTTGGACACGCACGTATTGCGGACCTGTCTCACTGTGTTGCACGATGTGATTGCTTTTCTGTGATTAATTCCTTGGGGTCAAATTTTCTCGCGAGTCAAAGTATCTTACGAATGATGAACCAAACATTACGGTCATTTTCATGGCCGATAGCTTTTAAACGGAGTTTTATCCAACTGCTTCTGATTACATGAAAGTTTTGGGGAAAAAATGACCGACTGGACTTCGATTGCCGGTAAAGGTGTCAGGCATTTTTTAGGGGGAGAGATGTTTACTGTGTTAGCGTGTCTTCTCATCTTCAACATGCTGTCAATTGGTAGTAATTGCAGATACTTCTTATACAATTTCTTGCGAGAGTCTCGACTATCTTTGTTCGTAATATCGGAATCTAAATCACCAGCCATTACTGATATGACTGAGGGGTTAAAAAGTTCTCTCTTGCCCAGGCATGTTCGCGCTTTTGTCGTCAAAGGTTGTCGCAGACTTTCCACGCCTCTCTCGATCTTTGATTTCCTTCTCGCCTCAAGCCTCCTCTCTAAATTACACATTTTGGCGACAGGGCTTAACAGTGGCCTGGTATCAAGTAAATGTGGTCTTCTTTCTGGAAGTCTGCTGGGGTCGAAGGAGGTATTCATCCTAACATTACGAGCCGTCCTGTTCGTGGGTAAAGTTTGTCGAAGTTCTTCGTCTTGCTTATCAGGTTGTTTTGGCATCCCACGAAGTGCGTGGAGATTATTGGCTGTTAAGGGTCCAGAGGTTTCTTCGTGTAATCGGCATGAAAATGTGTCCATGGCCGACCCATCGTTTTGTGCTGTTTCTAAAATGCTAACAGCAGACCTTGGTGTTAAACATCCAAAGTATGAATGACACCAGCCTAAAATGATCAAAAAGGGAACAAATAGAGATATAAAAAGTCCTTGGTAGTTGAATAAGCTAGAATGACGCTACTCTCCTCCCCCTCCCCTCCCACCCATCCAAGCTTTCGCCGAGAGGGAGAGGTTACCAACAGAGGCATTAAAAAAAAATGCGCCCCTCCCTAAGTAAAATCAAAACAAACAAAGGAGTTAGAAAATAAAAGCTAAAAAAGGTATGATAAGACACCTGACAGGTAATTTAAGAAAATTCGTTTTAAACCCCAGTAAGACAATTTCGTAAGACAGGGTCATGGGTTCAAGTCCCATCTGGGGCTCGGATTTTTTCTATTTCACTAAAAAGTAAGACAATTGACGAATTAAAAGTTGAAATTGAAGTACAGAAAACTTTTCTCTGAGGTGAAACAGAATGATTTTGCTTAAAACATGTCATCAGCACTGATAATAGAGAAATGTCACATCTGTGTTTTAATCACAAATATATCACATGTCATTCCTTTTATAATTTGTGGGTTAATTTCAATGTTTTTAGTAATAAATCATAAATGTCCATTTGTGTTTACAATATTTTCATTTTCCTTGTTTTGACAAGAATCATGGCAGCTGCCTTTTTTTGGCTTGATTATTCATGAGATTCAATGTACACAACAGATGATAGGGAAATACCTTAAAAGGTATCTGATCATAGCCCGCCTTGAGTTGAACTGATATGGATTTTATTGAAATTAAGGCAATGGATATGCCTCATTTTGTATTCCTCAAAAATGACCTCACTTCAGTGTGAATTATACAAGTCAATATTACTACTAAATATGATTAAATGAGCAGTGGTGAAAATGTTAATGATGATATCGTCAATTCGTCTGACCCACACAGATTTATAGGGTGATGTGGGACACAGAAAGCTGATTGCAATTACAGCAGTCAATCACTGCTGTGTGAAAAAAACCATTTGGAAAAACCTCTAAGAATGTGATGAATTAAGTTTTTTCAAATCCTGCACACCAAAATAAATTGAAGTCTCACATGAACATGAAGAATTACGATCCAAAGTCCCAAGTCCAATACAATAGTCAATGTCTATTTTAACAGGAAGAACGTTACCAAGCAAATTTTTAGTAAAGCAGAATAAAGATAACAAAGATTAAGCTAATGGGACGTATTTGATTTCTGGACAAGGAAAAGAAATCCTCCATTAACGAAACCATGAAAAAAATGCGACGCTTTTACGTTTTTCTAAATTTTTGTCAGAAAGATTAAGTTTTAAGTGTCACGCAACAAACATGTCACACACCATGCGTATATGCTTTATCGGGTGGTGAACTTTTCGTGTCACACAAAGAGCGACTTCCTTAGTCTGGGAGCAAAATTATTGCAGGTATGGGGACTATATCAACTAAGATTTTAGATGGGAAGGGAGTTCGAGGAGTTGACCGGAGAGGGATTAAAAATCTATGTTTGTATATCAAACATCTCGGTCAAAAGGTGTTTCAGCCTCCCTGCCCACGTATCCCATCTTTGCCAGGGCTCTCAACATGCCACCAGCGCGCGTTTTCTCGGATTTTGCGGGCATGCCACGCGGCCGTGCCTATTGTTTGAGACGCGCGCTTTGTGCGCCGTAATACCCATCCCGCTGGACTACAAGCTCAGTGAGTTTCAGCCTCCCTGCCCACGTATCCCATCTTTGCCAGGGCTCTCAACATGCCACCAGCTCGCGTTTTCTCGGATTTTGCAGGCATGCCCTCCCACCCCCCCCATCTTAGTTCAAGGTCTAGATTCGCCACTGATAACCTAAAAGCCCCTTTAGTCTTGCGTGATGGCCCCCCTTTGCAAGACTAATAAATGTAGATGTAGAATCACATTCTACCGGAGGGGGGGCCTTACCCTCAGGAATAGCTTTGTTTGAATCTTGAGAAGCTGACATGTCAGGTGTTAGATTTCAGTATAGAAGACATTCGATTCGCTCACCAGTTTCATTTGTTACAGAAAACATTGATCGTTCTTCATCTTTAACCCACTCGACAATTCCTAAAAAGTATAAAACATAGAGAAATCATAACTTGAAAGCAGGCTTTACCCTAAATAAGTAGTTAATGGTTCAAACGGCAAGGGTGGGGTAGGGTCCTTGTGTTAAGTTCTTGGGGAAAACATGGTACCCTCTCAAATTGCCCATCAATCTAGTCGAGACAACGTGAGACAGTTTCAGTGGTTTGATAGAAACTTGCCATGTGAAACCTTCGACTCACGGCTTCCGTAGCCTACCTTCAGGATTATTTTCATAGTTCCAAAAAAAAAAAGACAGAAAAAAATTATGAATTACATGCGGTGAGCTCTCGTAAATTTCTTCAAGACCTGACTGCTTTCTGTTAGTCAGATAATTATCCAAGCTGTACGTATATGTATTTTACATTTTAGAAGTCCACGATCTGAATAACATAGGGAACTAAATCATATTTTTTGATAATTTCGATGGTACTTTACTCTCTTTTTTACCAAAGTCATCATGTAAAAGTAATAATTGACTGATTTCCCATCCACAGAGATCTCCTCGTGATACACTTGAGGAATTCCTGTCAACAAAAACACAAAATAATAAAAACCACACCTCTGCAAATCTCTCGCCAACAGCGCTACTGAGTTTAAGTTTGGCACTAGCTGAAGTGGTCTGTCATGGAGTGATGTTAAACCAAAACAGAAGCCAATCAGAACAAGGGAAATGTCACAAAGGCAATGCCGAAGAGCCCAAAGCAAGAATAGTGTAATCCCGAATTACAAGCGATTACTGCTCCTTATATCAAAATCTGTAAAAATAGAACTGGATCGTGATTGTGGACACAGGAAACTGGATTAAGGCAATCATTAGATTTCAAGTTACTTTAGAGTGGAAGAAAAATGCTAGTTACAAATTTCCTTCTGGTAGATTATCTATATCCAATGGATATGACCCTACTATTATTTTCCGAGGAAGGGCTTTTTGTTTGTGAATGGATAGATACAGAATCATAATTTATAATTACTCTGCTCAGCACTAACCGTGATCTGGGTTCTTACTCCTGCAACTACAAACTCGATCCTTTTCATATCAAACTGGGAGGAAAATTTATCCTTTATTACTAAATAAATATACCTGACATATTGCAAAGTGTTTATACCTAGACATGAGTCCTAGTGAAGCGGGAACTTGACGTGAAGACGATGTTAAAATGAAAAAACAAGTGAAGGCGAAGGTACGAGGAAGATGATCTCAGAAAAAAGACGAGTTTTTAGGGGTCATTTTCTAAGGTAAACAGTTGTGAGGCAGTTGAAAAGCGGATGTAAAAAATAGGATTTACAAAAGGCTGAAGAAAATCAGATAATCTGTCTGAGCTTTTCAAGGATAGTAACGGTTGCTATGACGACCATCTGATCGGTCTGTGAATGCCGCGTGAGAGTGTCAATCTATAACATGTTTCGACAATAAAATTGAAAAGTAAAGCACTAGCAATATAAATATTTATGGCTTCTTTTATTGTCAAAAAAAATCCACTGTAATGATAATTCAAGAATGAAGGGTCCTTATCTCGTTAGAAGCCTTTCCTTTCAGTGTAGTTCATATTGTATCCAGCGAATAGCTGATGAAAATTATGTAGTAACGAGTTCTCTAAACTAATTTAGAAGGAAATATATGGTCGATAGAGGGGGGAATTATTAATCGGATCTTGGTACATTTTGAAGGGGTTTGAATTAAACTATTGTTTTGCTTCAGCCCTACATTGAATTACTAAGACTAAAGCTCAGTAAACAATGTATATTTTATGATATTTAAATCTAAATATCGCTGAATGCGGTTTCTCTCTAAAGCAAGATTACAAGGACTTGAGGCCGTTGTAACAATATTGAATTTAAAAATAGCAGACCAAAAATTATTTGAAAACCTAAATTTTTCTGTTTCACAAGGAGAATAACTGAGAAAGGAGTTTTGTAGAGTAAGTTTGCTTCCATCAGAATTGAACACTACCATTTGAATCACTCTACATCAGCTTTACCACAAGGAAAGAAATGATTGATGTTTTGCGACGGAAGGAAATAATTTGAAATGCATCAGTTTATAAAATGGATTGTCTTAGTGTATGTCCATGTAAAATCCTCCATGCGAAGTAACGGCAACCTAATACAATGTAGATTCAAGATTTTCTTATCTTCTTCCGTCATTTCAAACAAAAGCATCCATTATTCAATGTTTTCAATGAGGTTTTCAAGGTGTCTGCATACACATTTAATCTAGGACTAGCTGTTTCTCAATATCCATCTAATTATTGATAAAGAGTCGTAGTACCAACCTCAGATCTTGTGCTGAAAAGTGTTGAAAACGTTTCGTTCTTAGGCTATCTTGATTGACACCGTTATCTCGTTTCATTTTATATCGAAACGAATGTGGAGTTCCTTGCATCAGGCCGGACCACTTATTCAAATTTTAAAGCAATTTTTCACGGTTTACCTGCCGCATGAAATGTAATTCTAGAATGTCTGCCATGCTTAATCTGTGTTTACTTTTTACTTTTACTTTTTTCCACAGCAACATCCCACAACAAATTTTCATAGCTTTCCGGAAACTGCCTATAAATAAATAAACAAAGATGAAGGCTGAAATCTGTCCAATTAGTGATTTAAAATGCAAATTGTGATTTTGTGATAAGAACTCTATTTATTTTACTTCCATGGTTTGTGAACAAGTGACAATACAGTTCATACAAAACCTGCAGGGTGCCTAACTTAATATCTGTGTTTGTACATTTCTGTGTGTTTGAGCGCTTCAATCAATAAAAATCCTGCTTTTTTCTATTTGCATTGCACTACAGGATTTCAACGTAGTACCCTTTTCACACGGTTTTCAAAAGCTTTTAAAGAACTAAATGAACTGTAATAGAAGGCTCTTAGGAAAATCTATTAATTATTCCTCTTGGAAAGAAACGGCTTTCACAGACTCCAACTGTGCTAATGTAATCGGGTAATTACTGTGGGATAGAAGACAAAGTTACGTTTATTTTATCAAGTTATCACATCTTTATTTTGTTAAAGAAAAATTTGTGTTAAAGGAGGACGAAGTTCATGTTTTAAATGTCGACAGTTCCTCAATTATCTTCCTTAAAGTTAAGGGAAAATTTCATAAGCAGGAAAACTTCATTTTCAAAATACACTTCGATAAGTTTAAAATTTCTTATACAACTTCATAGCTAGCAAATTCTTCTTGACAAAAATTGTTGCCTATCAACTGCTTCACTCACAAGCATTTTACTTCAAATAAATCACTTTTTTTCGTACCCAAGTCTCAAATGGCGTGTAAACACTAGGAGGTAAGGGTAGAAAAGTATAACATGTCCATTGTAGAGGACGCCGGAAGTTGGGAACTTTCAACGGAAAGCTAGGACGGTAGGCTAAGACTAACCTGGTGCCTGTATCTGATGGTGACTGGAAAAAAAAAAAAAAGTGAGTGCGCAGAAACGAGGGTAAAGGCAGGATTAAAAACTCTGACTAGTGAGGTCGACTCCAGTTTCCGCAAGGTTTAAAATACAATTTCACGTTGAAATGGGAACCACATCATCGACGAATTTAGAGGGAGATACTGAATAATCGAATAATTATCACGTCTTTATGGATCGCACCCTGATATAGCTAAAAACCATTAACATAAGATGAATTATCTCTAAGGCAAAAAATCACGATAGGGAATGTCACATTTACGAAGAAAACTGTGCTTCAGAAGGATTCGAAGTATGATACATTAAGTTTTTCATGTCGCTATGTAAAATGTAAGAACAATGTTGGGTATAAAATTTTTAAAAGAAATTCCTTTTTAACAAAAAGTTATGCGGTTTTGTAAGAATCCAACTTCATTTAGGGCGAGGGAAGATTCGTGCACTTCGTCCAAAACTGCGCATGCCATCAAAGTCATCGGCACGCTCGTCATCAAGCCCCCTGCGCAAGCCCCCGCTCTGGCTCACACCATCTTCCTGTGTATGCCTGAATTCCCCACCGTGTGAAACTCGGTCTCGAGGCCAGGAGTCTTGTTGTAATTGATGCCTGGGTTCTCTCATTCTCATCCTGGTCAGAGTGAAGTTGAGTGTGGCGGGTTTATCAGGTAATACTGTACATGATTTGGTTTCCTGTTCAAATCCTTTGGCTGAAACTGTGATGTCATAAGAGCCTGGGACTAGTAATCTCCAAAAGTCGCCGTCATTTGCAGAGAACACGTCATGGCGGCGATTTGAGACAGCTATTCTAGCTTCGTCCACAGGTTTACCATCTTGATCTTTAACAAAGCCGTGCACACCAGAATGGACCTTATGACAAGCGAATACTTTATTAATCAACCGAGAAGTAACTCAACTTGACGTAAAATTTTTACTCTATAAATGAATCGATAAGGATATTTTGCCAACTGTACTCTTGACTGACAGGTGAACACAAATTTGACGTCCAAGCTGCGCATGTCCGAAATCCTAGGTCTAAGGACAAGTTAGAGTGGACTGTCCACGGTGACATTTAAGTCCCCCCTCCCTCTCCCCTCATTCTCCTTAAACCTCACCCCTGCTCCTTCAGTTTGCTTTGCCTTATCTCAGTTCCTTCATTATCTTTGACAGATGAAATCCTACTCGATAAATTCGCCGGTAGTCGGCATCTTCACAGTGATCTTTAAGCCACAGTTAAGCTTCCGCTTACAAAGAACAATTTATACTTACCCCCTGTCTCCAAAGCATGTTACAAGAAGCCTATTTTAAAATTATTATCTGTGAATCATCATTTTTGGTATACCTGCTCTATATAACTAAGGAGAGCCTCTTTGTTCTCCTGCCAGTATTCTGGTAGTTCACTTGCATTAGGAAACTTCTGACAACCGAGTTCAAGCGTTATATCAAAACAATTGGAATGCACATAATTGTAATCTTGCATTCCTCCCGATACACTGAACCACTTGGCACCATTCGTTATCCCGTCTATAAAATGCTCCCGCGGAATCTCTTTGCATTTCCAAGGTGCGTTTGCTAAATGCATTGTGGGATGTGCCTCTGAGTACGCACGCGCAATCTGTCTAAATACGTCATCATCGGGCGTGGCGCTGTACACGCTCTGTCCCGAGGGATTATCGTCATACGGGTAATTTGCCACGAGAGCTCCGCTGTGCAAACTGGCTGACAGCACAAAAGGAATAGAACTGATCCACTTCATGACTGCGCGGGTTTCCGGTTGGGGCGGTCCGTTGGTGCTCGGAAAAAATTGATCCGGAAAATTACGATTCAAGTCGATACCGTTGGCATTAGGTCGGCTTGATTTCCAAATGTCTTCGTCATCAGCCAATGTGGCAGCCAGTTCGTATCCGTCAGGATTCATACTCGGCATGATGTGGATTCTAGTCGTGTCTACGATGCTAGTGACTCTTTCGTTGACCCCGTAGTTTTTGCAAAGATACCTAATCAAATGAAGAAGCATCTCTCTTCCTATGGCTTCATCTCCGTGCATGTTAGCGACGTATTTAAATTCTGGTTCCCCAGGCTCGTGTTTCCCCGGGTTATTGGAGATTTCCATGACCCACAATTTGCGGTTCTGCACCGAGGTACCGATGTCATACAATCGAGCTATTTTGCTGTATTTTCTGGAATACTCCTTCAAAAGCCAGGTCATTTCTTCATAATTATGATGTCTAAAGCTCGAGTTTTTCTCAGATATTTCAGTTTTAGAGTCTTTCTCCAGGTCCTTGGCACCTTCCTGGCTGTGATCTTTAAGTTCTTCTTTAGCAATGGCGAGTTTATGTTTTATGTCCTTGATGGTTGCAAAGCTCCCTTTCTTTCCATTAATCGTGTTTGGTTCAGTTTCATGTTTGTTTTCCTTATCAGTTGATATTTTCTTGGCTCCTTTATCGGGTGGCTTTGCAGAAGAAGAAAGAATCGGGTTGTAAAGAATCAAGGACAGTACGAACAACTTCGCACGAAGCATGGCTGAAGTGCTCACAGAACTGTTCACGATTCGAAATGTCTGCTCTTTTGTGAAACGGTATTAATTTAGGGTTCTTATTGACATCACCGCAGGAGTGGTTAACCGCTCACCACACCTTACAAAGATTTAGTTATGATCTTTATATCTCTCATCGCATCACGGCTATAAACCATTTGTAAATGATCCGTACTCGCTTATGATTTTAACAGCTAACAGACAAGAGTACTCCTGTATAAATACACATTCGTAGTGTCAGAAAAATGCAAAACCGCGAAGTCCCAGTTTAAATTGAAACATATTTATCTTTTTGCAGAGGTTCTTAGATATAGGAAGCAAAAACAGATTTTTGGCTATCGATTTGTTACGTCCAATTAGCTGACCACCTGCTGAGAAATGGCAGGTGTAATAATCTACCTGCTCCGAATCTTGTAGCGCAAAAGTCGTCTGGAGAAACCTTTTATAAGTACAATTGAATTTCAAATTGTTTTTCTTAAATTAGACGCTAGAAAATAAAGAGTACTTAAAAAAAATTCTAATATGCTACGGGTAACCTTGTGAAGTAATTTTGTTGTTGACCTTTAACAAAGTCAACTCGAATCATCGCCGTTTACATGATTTGTTGGTATTTGAAAACATTTTACAAATCTGTCAAAGTAAGGAATTTAGACCGTAGCTTTTCCCCATGAGAAAAAGAAACAAGCTACTTAGGAGAAGTCAAAGCTCTGTGTAGTCTAATTAACCCTAACAAAAATGAGTTCAACCCCGTAATTTGCTGAGACAAGCATTTGTTTATTACAAAACCACACCCATTTCAAGAATAAGATCTAAATAAAGAGTGTGAATAAAGTTCTGTGGATGAATGTCAGATTATGGACAAGTGACCTAATTCGCATTTTGGACCGACTGAATTTCACAGGGGAAGACATTTGACTTTTTGCGATACTAACAAAATTCTGCCGTTATATTTTTGCTATTTAGCCGTCCTACGAGACGCTAAAAATGCATCTAATATCGCCGTTTTCGATCTGCGTTTTAATTCTGAGTTTTCATCTTGGAAACTGCAACCCGTTTTTGAGGAAAGTTCTCGATATGTTTCACGGTGGCAAAAAACAAGTGCAGGCGATGGATGAGGCAAAGAAAAGTGTAGATATTCTAGATGTAAATGAATTTAAACACCACGATTACGAGGAGTTGACCTGGTTTTTAAAGTACTTTGCAAAAAAGTACCCAGACATTACAAAATTGTATTCCATTGGCTACAGCGTGCAGAACCGAAAGCTATGGGTGATGGAGATATCGGACAATCCCGGAAAACACGAAGCTGGCGAAGCAGAAGTAAAATATATCGGAAACATTCACGGTAATGAAGCGTTGGGCCGAGAACTTTTACTACAACTGATAAAATACTTTTGCGAAAACTACGCAAACGACACAAAAATTAAGAATATTGTGGACGCAACAAGAATACACATTTTGCCAAGCATGAACCCGGATGGCTACGAGTTGGCGGCTGTTCGCGGAAAGAGAAACAAATTGGTTGGAAAGAGGAACGCTCTTCGAGTCGATTTGAATCGTAATTTTCCAGACCAGTTTTTCCCTAGTACTACTGGGCCACCTCAACCCGAGGTCAGGGCTGTGATGGACTGGATCAAGGAGTACCCGTTTGTATTGTCAGCTAGTCTACATAGTGGAGCTTTGGTCGCCCTCTACCCTTACGACGATTCGCCTTCAGGCCAGAGTCAATACAGTGCTACACCAGACGACGATGTTTTCAGACGTTTAGCCAAGACATATTCGCAGGTACCTTATGTTTAAATTAATTCCTAACGCTACGATTTCGAGAGAGACATCTATATACTTCGACCGTGAGGGTAAACATATTTTACAACTTATATGAGAAAACGTACACAGACCATTGAGGAGAATTCATAGAAGAATCGCATCATTAAATAAAATTCCACTTTCTGATTGGTTAACGAAGTTAGGTATTTAGCGTGGAATTGTGAGTTGAAAACGAGGCTAAGGGATATCGCTCTATCCGCATTGAGCTAACCGCCTCCCGGTTAGCTCAATGGATAGAACGCTGGACTGATGTGCGGGAGGTCGAGGGTTCGAGCCCCGGCCGGACCAACACTCAAGGTCTTAAAATAATTGAGAAGAATATGCTGCCTTTCCATAACATCAAGAAATGGTTAGATATTCTAGTCTTCTCGGATAGGGACGAATAAATGGAGGTCCCGTCTCCTGCAGGGTTAGGGGTAGGAGACGTTAATTTCCCACGCACGGGATTACTGTGTGATGGATATCCTCCTCTGAGGTGGGATGGGTGGGTTGTTGTCTTGCGTTTCATACATGAGCCTCTGGCTCGGGCAATATGGGTAACCATGCCCCGCGTAAAGACTTAAAACTTTGATTACTATTACTATTACTTTTACTATTTCGCATCTACGTAAACATAACAATTTTGAGTAATGCTGTTTCCTTTTTTTTTCTAATTTTTATTCAGTTATGCGATTCAAGGAAAATCCATTACTTCACTCGTGAATTCCGCATTAAATTGCACTTGAAAACCGATATCGCAAGAATCGCGAAGCGATGAGTGCGACATCGGTTTTCAAGTGCAATTTAATGCAGAATTCCCTCGTTAAGTAATGAATTTTCCTATAGAAGGAACTTAGTGCTATTTCCGTGATATTTTTATTGTCATCAATCGAACTTTCATTATTTACTATTTGAGTTTGTTCTTTCCTACCATTGATTTAGCGTTAGGTACTATTTTAAATATTGATGAATTTCAAGTGTCGGTGACGATTTTGACAGGGTCTTATCTCCTTCTTAACCCTTTACGCACCAACATCAGTATGAAAATTCTCTATACTGCTCTCTATATATTTGCTATGGTATTTACAAGGAGAATTTGATTGAAATCCAGAGCGGTTTGAGTTGGAGATCATTTCCTTTATTCTCCTGACCTTAATATTTGATTCAGCAGTTATAATGTAAGGAGAAATAGAAAGCTAATCAATTTTAGGAGTTTTAAGGGGTTAAGCGGGTTAAAAACTGATTCACTGCTTTGTTTTCTATTCAAGGCACACCCCGTGATGCATCTGGCCAACCCTAAATGGAACTGTACGGATCAAAAGGAAGAACACTTCATAGACGGCATCACGAATGGTGCCAGCTGGTCTAGTTTGTCAGGAGGCATGCAGGACTATAACTATGTTCACTCGAACTGCTTTGAAATAACGCTGGAGCTTGGCTGCGATCGATTTCCTAAAGGTACTGAGTTGGAAAAGTACTGGCATGATAATAAGAAGGCTTTAGTGGAGTTGACTCAACAGGTAAGAAAATAACTCCTATTTTTTGACATGTCAAAATGATGTAGATTCTCTCCTGTAGAAACTGGTCATTATCTGTCGCCTGGGGAAAAGTGGGGTCCAAGGGTGGAGGATTTTGGTTGTGTCCTGATGAAAATTATCTGATCCCCAATAAGGCTCTGTAACATTTTGATGACTCCTTCTAAATCCCTTTTACACTCTGTCGGTGAAGACTGATTCCCCCTCTGTTCCACATAAAACCAAGGGATCCTCTCAAAATTCTCAACCTTCCACCCCCTCGTCCCCCGAACCCCCCCCTTCCTAGCCTTCATCCTCGCCAGTTCTCTTAATTCATACAAACAGTCAAACATGTATCTTTTCGCTTGCGCCTAAGGTACATTACGGCGTGAGTGGATTTGTCATGAACATACAGGGAGAGCCTCTCTCTGATGCAACCATTAGCGTGGCAGATCGTCGTCATGACGTCACTTCATCAAAGGATGGAGACTATTGGCGCTTACTCGTACCAGGTTCTTACGAAATCACAGCCACGGCACAAGGTTACCAGCCACAAACTCAGCTGGCGGAGCTACGGGCGTTTGAAGGGAAGATTGTAAATTTTACTCTAAAGCCGACTCAGGAAGACGGGATAAAGATGCCGCTTGAAGGAAGCGAAGACGAGTTACTCGACCGAGTCATGGTGAGTCTAACATTTACAGAACAGAATGATTTATTACAACGGGCCCGTTTGTCTTTGGGACAGGGAAAGTTTCTACCTTCTGCGCCTCCATGACCAAAAAAAAAATAATTGGTCTGACTTCGGCAATAGGAAACTACAGTAGGAAAACACTCATATCTAGTTTAAAATGGAGACGTAGATCTGTTTACTCAGTCGTTTGTTCTGTGACCCTTCATTTTCTTTTCCCTTTTTTCACATCACTTTGAAACAGGCGGGAACTTACGTGACCGACGAGGGAGTGGATCCAAGGGAGCATATTATCAAACTGACCAATCAGAATGACAGAGAGGAACAGCCGTTCCGAAAACACGTGCTACATCCGGGACTTAATGATAGGTACGTCATGTCAGACGTCATAAAATGAAACCATAAAGTTACATCTACACTGCTACAATAAATGCCTTTTCTCAGTCCCTTCAGCCATATTGATAAATAATTATCGGGATCTCACTGTAACTTAGGAGAGAAGCTTTTGTTGAAGTACCATTGGGTGATGAAGTAAGACTAATATTTGGGTTGAGTTCATGTTCTCCTCAAAAAGAGGATCCCTTTTTGAGGCCACGCCTTCAAGTCTTAGGTTTGGTTCCTGTAGATCAATGAAATCTTATGTTGAGTTTGGAGGCAAAACCATCATAACTGTTATTACCGAGAGAGCATGTTCTCTTGTCATCACTGGGATGATCACGAACACAGCACATAACGCTTTTGATTTTAGGTTTGGTTCCTGTAGACCAATTAAATCTTATGTTGAGTTTGGAGGCAAAACCATCATAACTGTTATTACCGAGAGAGCATGTTCTCTTGTCATCACTGGGATCACGAACACAGCAAATAACGCTTTTGATTTTTTCCCTTTTTCCATATTTATAGATCTAGGTTGTCCCTTGAGGATTCCCTTCTTAGTGATGAAACTATGCATGGAAGTGGATCTGTGGAGAGGAGCAAACCCGACGATATCTCTGGCGAAGGAGGAGGGAGTGGCGACGAGAAATCCAGGCAAGAACCGGACAGACCGGTGTCTCACCCAAAACTGGTTAAACCAGACAAACCTTTCACTATCTCAAAACCGGTAACGCCGGCTAAGCGTGTCAGTATTCAGAAACCAGCGAAAACCATCAGTAACAAGACAGCCACCAAGGTTTTTACAAAGCCCCAAGCTCCTAAACAAAAAACCAATGTAATACAAAAGAAACCAGCACCTGCAGTAGTGAAAAAAGCCACACCCCTTAAATCACCTGTCACAGACAAGCGCTTCTCGAAACTGATTGGCTCAAACGTGGCATGCCGTCTAGTCGGAAAGAAGGGCTTAAAGAGCGGAAACTTAAGATGGGTGGGGCATTTACCTCACTTGCCAGTAGACGACACCCACCTCATCGCTGGTGTGGAATTATCCACCATTGATAAACTGGGAACTGACGGCACATATCGTGGTGTAAAATACTTTCAGAGTGCCCCGAAACGAGGTTACTTCTTCCGACTGAAGGACTGCAAAGCTTTGAAGCATTAAAACTTTATTTCTATGGATCTGATTCCGGGGAAACTCTCCGCACGAGCCACACTACATTCATTCCAGGCTAGTTTGGAGAATCTGGTGTTGTATAGGCATGACGTATGACAACCAATCTGCTCTTCTTTGGGGAACACTGAAAACCGCCTTGGTTATAATTTTCATCATAGAGTGATATTATTATCATTTATTAACTTGTTTATTACTATTATTAGCTAATGCATTTTTGTATTGTCCTCTCCTTTTATTTCTGTACAATATTTTGATATCGCAACGAGAAGTTAAATTTGTATAGGTAATTGCATGGGGCCGAGTAAAATTAACGATTAATATCCCGTGTGTTTTCGGAAGTTGCTGAAATTGCCCGAGTCGCGCAGCGACGAGGGCAATTTCTGCAACTTCCGAAAACACAAGGGATATTAATCCTTAATTTTACGAGGAACCATGTGATTACTTGTTTATAATATAAGGGGCAAAATGTTTTCTTACTGATCTCGCGCAAAACGGGACGCCATTGTTACAAACCAAACAGAAATTTCAAGTTCTTTACCTTGGTAGCCGTTGTTAAGCGATTTTCAGCCAATCATTTTCAAGTAATTTTTCCCGGGGCAATTATAAAAATTAAGAAAAAATACCCTCTGTCTTCACCGATCACAATTCAGTAATTTTGCCCCTTATATGATAACAAAAGATATAACCACTCTGAGAGTTGAGTGAATTGTTATCTCTTCAGTTACATTAGAAATATGCACCTCACGAAAATTTGGTGTTAAACCTTCTGCAGTGTTGTTCCTGATGGACAGTTCGAATGTGCGTTAATGTGTGATGTGTGGTTGTTCATGGCCTTACTGGTCTTATCTTCACAGTTTCTTAGTCTGTGATTTCAAATTTTTTTTTTTAATGAGACGTGAGTTTTTTGTACATGTTAAGCATAAGTTGTCACAGAATCATTGTTAAATGGTAAAAAAAAACAAAAAACAAAAAAACAAGAGGTAAAAGATTATCAGCGAAAATAAGCTCAGAAAAGACAATCCATTATAACATTTTAACTTTTTTATTAGCGGGCCCAATTCCATGAGCGACCAAATGGTCAGCCATATTCGATACTAGGGCGGTCAATCTTTGCTTGGGAACTAATGTTTACCGCGCTGACTCCAATACTTTGCAGGTAATTGACCTGATCCTCTATAAGACTTACGAGCGGAGAAACAATAACAACGATATGCCCAGCAAGATTGTTGATGTGATCGCACACGAGTGGATAAATCAAGGATTTTCCAAACCCTGTAGGCAGGTTTACCAATACATCTTTTTTTTGCAAAAGAATTTTCTCAATTGCCAGCTTCTGAAATAATTTAAACTAGGAATTTTGAATTTGGAAGCGGTCGAAACAAAAAACCTTCTTCGAGAGTTGCCATTTTCTCTGCTCAATGAGCCGCTGATGGAACACGAGTTTTGATTGGACAACTAGTCTTGGCGGGACTTACTCAGAATTATATGAGGGAAATCGTGATTGGCCGGTTGGTGGGGAGGGAGCGTTGCGTGACGAGCCCAAACAACGGCTGCGAAGAAGACTCGTCATTGCATTAAGGAAACAAAACACGCGTTCTATTTTTGTCGCCTGCAAATCAATATGATGATTATCTTTTCTTGATCTCAGAAGCTTTTCTGCTTGAAATGATAAAAGGATGAAATTCTTGTTGATTTTCCTTCCTTTCTTTGCATCGGCTTCATGCGAATAACTTTTGCATATTCCACCATATTTATACTCAAATTGATTTATGCACGCTCTCCTCATGTTGATCTAACGACTTATGATTTTTTATTTATGAAAACGTTATTTGCTTTTGAATTGACGGTGACCATCAAGTTGACGAAGACTGTAAACAAAGCCCTGTCAAGATCATAATCCATTGTTGGCTTAGTGAGTTTGCCCTGTTTTACTATAGCCTGAGTGTCAGGCCTTCCTGAGGGGCTAGGGGAGAGGAGATTAGGGGGAGGAGCGAGGGGGAGGGGGAGAAGAGAAAGGAAGGGTTCTTCCTTTCGCTCTCTCCCTTTCTCGCTTCTCTCCTACCCCTTTCCCCCAGAAACGATTGATACTCAGGCTAGTTTGACTAAGAAACCTGAGACTGCTTTAAAGCATTCCTTTGTTTTTCTTGACCTTCCTAATATTTTGTCAGATACATTCCTTACGAGGCAGCACGAAAGTAGCGAGTTCATCTAAAATTCAATCTTTTAATTTACCAATAGCAGTTCTGGAGTTCCCTTGACACTGGAACAGCATGGCCTCTATCGTATTTTCATCCGTGTTTGAAATTGTGCTTGGTTTGCTTGGGGATAACATTAGAGGAAAGATGGCGGAGAAGTTAAGAGATGGAGATGTTTTTGATGAAGAATTTCGTGATTTGGTCATAACGGAAAACAATGAAATCAAATCGATGTTGAAAGGATTGTCAAGGAAAGACTTGAGAGAGAGTATCATAGTTTTCAAAGAAGGCATCGAGATCTTATTTGAATTCTTTGACAAGGCGGGGTTCCATCGCGAGTACCGTGACGACGCGGAAACCGAACAAGCAACTCGCAATATAGCCCTCTCGCTCACACAAGAAATGAAAAAATTGGATCGTAAATACTTGGATGACTCTACTACCCAATATCTTTCTGAGGCAAAAAAGAGATTTAAACAAGCTCGGGAAAAAGCCACAGGGGCATTCGCTAATGAGGCACTAAACATGTCCGACCGTCTTCTTGCAACACGATATCGAATTATGGCGACCATACTTGAGACATTAGACAGTCTGGAATTAGCATTAGTCCCCTGTAGAGCATGCATTAGAGATTTAAATTGCCTTGCGGCCGTTCAGAATAGTTTTGGTGCTCAGGTTACGACAAGAGGCATCAAAGCTGTGAAGAGTTTGTTTAGAAAAAAGGAACGAGGGAGACTTATTTCCAGTGTCTGTCACATGAATCGGGTCCTTTACGAAGTCTCACGGATTGTGCTCGGTAGATGTCCTTTGGAAATGGCATGGCCCTCTGTTGATACCGGCGAGGGTAAAGTTGATCCATTGCGTGATGAAAGAATAACTAACGCGCTGCAAAACCAGGACATTGAGGATTTTTGCGTGATAAGGTCGTTTGGTGAGGACGAACTGAAATGGGTGTCAGGTATCGCTACAAACTCCAAAAAACAATTTATTTTGACAGAAGTCACTGGTGCTAACATCAAGGTGTTCGATAGCTGCGGCAAGTTGGTGGAACATTTCAGTCCACCAAACAAGGTGACTCCTTTGGATGTAGCCACTGACCTCAGCGACAATATCTTTGTGCTGGCTGTCATCATGTCTTCAAACGAGGTAAACTTGAATACCGTCCGCTGTTCAGGAAATGAGCCCACACTCTTCTCCTCCATAGGATCGGAGACCGAATCCGTGGAGACTATGGAAATCGAGGCTAACGACGAAGGAACTCTATGGGCTTACAAGTATACAAAAACTGCCGTCCTTCAAAGACCTTTGGGCAAAGGAGGCTGTGACAGTAAGCTATCGGTCGATGGGAGCGGCAATATGATTGTTTTGAGGGTTTCGTATGAGACGTCTGTAAAGCGTGTGTTGGAAAAATATGACAGTCAAGGACTGTTTGTTCGCTCGTTTGGAGAGGAAACTACAGTGAAAAACTTGAAGGATATCACTACTGTTAATGATGGGCAAGTCATTGCACTGGATAGGCTAAATCGATGCGTTCACATCTTCGGTGAAAACGGTCAACATCTGCGCGAGTTTGAGCTGCAAAGAATCTCTGAACCTGACTGCATATCTTTTCATCAGGAAAGTGGACATGTCGTTGCGGCTGGAGTTAGTGAGGAGAACGATTCTCTGTTTGTAGAGATATACACTAAAACCGGCAAGTTTAAATGCGGCCACCATATTTACAAGAACGGAATAAGGTGGGTATCAGCCATGACTGTCACAACTGAGGGACAAATCGCTGCAATTACCGAACACTCCAACAAAGTACTTGTAGTGTGAAAAAACGTGACATTCCAAGTTTTACCATATTGCCAGTTTATCGAGGAATCATGAAGAGGTTCTTTCAATGCAGGAATGCCCTGACCTTCCACATGCTGCTAACTTACCTTGGAATGCACTAAAGTGAACTTGCATCGGGTGTGTATAAAGTAATTTGTCTTATTCCCACCCCACCCCACCCCATTGGCAGTTAATTAGAAGTCAATTTTCTTTAGACCCCCTTTTATACTCCGTTGGCGGCGACTAACCCCCCAGCTCTGTTACCTCTGAAATCCATGTGATCTCCCCAAGATTCTTCAGTCTCCCC